ATTTCATGTACAATGTCATATACCTATCTTCAACTGTTTCGAAAATATTGACAGTTGAAAACTGACTTTTTTGCATCTTTGACAGGCTGTAAAACCTGAACGGTTAATTCTACAAGAAAACGGATTTTACATTCCTATCTTAGCTTTTCATAAACTATCATTTGGCACCAATCTTGAATTTAATCCATGATTAAAAATTCCGCCTAAATTATTAATCTTCGGTTAAATTCAAAGTTGGTGTCAAATGATAGCTTATGAAAATCTAAGATAGGAATGTAAAATCCGTTTTCCTCTAAAATTAACCGTTTAGGTTTCACAGTCTGTCAAAGATGCAAAAAAGTCAATTTTCAACTGTCATTATTTCCGAAACAGTTGTAGATAGGTATATGACATTATACATGAAATATGTCTAGAATTTTTAGCAGAAATCAGAAAGGTCATAATATACAGGGGGAGTCATTTAAAAAACATAACTTTGTGTCACTACTAGCCTTGTATACTAGAAAATAATTTAGAAATGTAGTACTCATGTTTATCTACAAGTTTTGTATTTACTTTCTTCTCCGATCTCCGTTAGTATGGGAGATATGGACCACTGCGCGCTTAGTAACTCACCCTGTATTATGGTATTTTTCGTTAGAAAATTGAATTACATAATTGTCGATGCCATATTTGTTAAGGCTTTGTTAAAGAAAAGGATAAAAAATTATATAGTGGAACATACGATGGTGCGTTCAGAAGTTATCATTTGGGAAAAACCTCATGGGACACCCTGTATACAGGTCCTAAGTATGGTTCGTGACTCCAGGATGTGATTCCTTACAATATTTTAGGAAAAAAAGTTCCCATAAACATGTCACCGGAAATGCGTAGTTTCTGAGATACAGGGTGTCAAAGTTTTAGAAAATATCGTTTTTTTAACTCAAAATCCATTTTCCAATTTTTTTCAGATTTGGCAGGTCTGTTTGTGATAGCGAAAGGTACCTTTTGTCTGTAATATGACTTGCTGAATCTGAAAAAAATATCAAAGGTTTTAAAAAATAGTGACGTGCCATTTTTTTTCTACTTTTACCGTTTTTTACCAAAAAATTCTGTATATTTTTCTATTTTTTGACTACCCTGTACAGATCCACAATCGGTTCTAGAAGACTTTGAAAATATCGTTACTTCTAGTAAAAATATCGGGCTACAACTTAATTTCAATTAATGCGAAATTTCTTTCTTGAATGAATCCAAAAAAAAATCTGCTATCTCCGTTCAAAACCATCGCTCCAAATATCTGAACACTCCATTAGAATCTTTCACTTTACTAGGATGTCCCTTCTCTCTGAAGAAAATCAGTGAATCCTCGAAAATATCTATCTTAACCAAATTTTCAACAAATTTAACATACCTAATTTCTCATACAAGTTTTTTTCCTTTAAAAAATTCATTCACTATCCCACGACTTTCTTATACACTGTGTCCGTAAATTAACGGATAAATTCATTATTTTGAAAACGGTAGAATTTTTGAAAAATCGTTCAGACACGTCAATTTTATTTTTTTGTTTTTTTGTTTGAAATTTTTTGATATATTTTTCATTATACAGGGTGTCTCAAAAATAGCTCCAAATGCTATCAACTTTGTTTTTTCAAATGGATCACCTTGTATATTATGACATTTATGGATTCTGTGGAAAATTCTAGACATATTTCATGTACAATTTGGAGTGTTTCAATAGGAAAAACACACTTCCAGACGAGATAGACAAAAATTGACTTAAACGTCATGGGATCGATTTTTGTGAAACGTCAATTGTCAAAAACCGTATCACGATATCTTCAATGGTACCATTGATACAGGGTGATTTTCGATTTTTCCCTATTATGAAAAATGGCTATAAGTTTTTTATTTATCAATTTTTTTTATTTCTGTAAAAACATTATGGAGACACTTTTTTGAGCACAATCCAGTGGCGGACTCAGTTTTTTTCAATATCATTCCAATTTCAAGATAACGACCAAATTCCGATATTTTCAAATGAAACACCCTAAATATTAATAGCTCATTGGATAGCTCTGTTTTTGCTGATTTCAATGATATAAAGTTCGATAGGTTTATCTCTAACAGTTTTCGAGAAAAAAAATTATAAAATCTGTTTTTTTTTTAAAGATAATTCCCCAAGTCAAAAATTTAGTAACTATGTTGGCAACACAAGCCTTTTCTACATGAAAAATTTGATAGCATTGACAATTTTATTATCTGTTTTTGTCGTAAGGACCAATGTGTTAGAAAAAGATTTTATATGTGTAAGGAAAAAGAGGAAGGTCTCTTTCTAACACATTGTTTCTTATGACTGAAACATATAATTTTTTTTTTCTCGAAAACTGTTAGAGATAAACCTATCGAAGTTTATATCATTAAAATCAGTAAAAACAGAGCTATCCAATGAGCTATTAATATAGGGTGTTTCATTTGAAAATATCGGAGTTTGGTCGATATTTCGAAATCGAAACGATATAGAAAAAAACTGAGTCCGCCACTGGATTGTGCTCAAAAAAGTGTCTCCATAATGTTTTTACAGAAATAAAAAAAATTGACAAATAAAAAACTTATAGCCATTTTTCATAATAGGGGAAAATCGAAAATCGCCCTGTATTAATGGTTCCATTGAAGATATCGCGATGCGGTTTTTGACATTCGACGTTTCTCGAAAATCAATCCCATGACATCTAAGTCAATTTTCGTCTATCTGGTCTGGAAGTGTGTTTTTCCTGTTAAAACACTCCAAATTGCAGCACCCTGTACAATGTTATATACCTATCTTCAACTGTTTCGGAAATATTGACACTTGAAAATTGACTTTTTGCAACTTTGACAGGCTGTAAAACCTAAACGGTACATTTTAGAGGAAACACGATTTTACATTTCTATCTTGGATTTTCATAAACTGTCATTTGACACCAACTTTGAAGTTAATCTGTGATTAAAAATTCTGGTTAAATTTAATCTCCGGGTAAATTCAAAGTTGGTGTCAAATGATAGTTTAAGAAAATCTAAGATAGAATGTAAAATCGGTTTTCCTCTAAAATTAACCGTTCAGGTTTTACAGCCTGTCAAACTTGCAAAAAAATCAATTTTCAACTGTCAATATTTCCGAAACAGTTGAAGATAGGTATAAAACATTGTACATGAAATATATCAAAAATTTCCCGCAGAATCCATAAATGTCATAATATACAGGTTGATCCATTTGAAAAACCAAAGTTGATAGCGGCGGAGCTATTTTTGACACACCCTGTATTGTATAATGAAAAATATATCAAAAAATTTCAAACAAAATTGACGTGTCTGAGCGATTTTTCAAAAATTCTTATCCGTTACTGTACGGACACAGTTAATATTACGCTGCGCTCCTTGTTGGAAAAGTCCAGAAGATCTTCAAAAATATGATGCAATCCTTAAAAATAATATTCAAAATATTTGTAATATTGATTTTCACAATCCTGATCCACATCCTTCCTGTTGAATTAGGAGGTTTGGGTGTTCCGGATTCCTCTACCTTATGTTTTTCAGCATTCTTAGGATCATTGAATGATGTGTCAATTTTAATAGATAATTTATCTACCTCCTAATATTTCTTTATTTCCGGATAAAGATTTTGACACAGCTATAAATAACTGGAACAGATTATGTAACTCCGATTTTTTCAAAATTACCATACCAAAAAAACAGAAAAATTTAGATACAATTTTATGCCAAGAAAATTTTAATAGGCTCGTTCAGTGAAGTTCCATTAACCACGTTTTTTGATATTTTTATAGAGTATTACTCACATATAGCACACAAAAAAAATATTCAGCGCAATGGGGCCGTCCCTCCTTAATTTTTTATTGGATTTTTGGAATGCCTGAATACAATATAAAATGTATGTAACAATATTTTGATCGACCATTCGGTATTCAATTAGAAAAAAAAAATTGAATTTGCTGATAAAAGGAATCTATTCAAAACGCGCGCGTAACGTGACGTCCCATGTCTCTAACCAATAGTATTATAGTCTAACAATCTGTCGTCAGAGCTAGAAATTAACCAGTTAAAGGGGCCTTAATGACATTGAAATCTGTCAGTTCTGTGATGATTTTTTGAAAAAAAAATGAAAAGTGTTGCCTATTTTTCAGGGTTTAGGTCGTTATGGATTATTTTCGTTTGTCTCCTATTGGCTGGAGACACAATACGTCATAAGGGCGCGAAAACATCAATTTCAAATAATGGCAAAAATTCAATCTTTAATAAAATTGTTATGTTTCAATGCATAATTCTAATAATCATATCAAGCGGTATGTTAGTGTACTAGAAGTACTTGTCTTAGATTAAAAACATTGATTTCAATTTAGCGGGACGGCCCTATTGGATAAATATTTAAAAAGTTATGCGGCTTTGAATAATAAAACATTATGCCTCAGAAATTCATCGCTTAGAGATGGTATGACGTCATCTCTCGAGTCAAGACGGGCTAAAGGCCGTCACACGGTTGTATCTGGACTTGTGGCAACTCCATGACTAGTTAAAAATGATATCACATCAACAGATAGTAAAGATCAGATCAGAAGCATCTGTTTCCACTATAAATGGAAACTTTTCATTGATGAATATTACAAAAACATCAATAATATCTTGTTTCAACCTTTCGAATGTTTGAATTTGTTCTCTGTTCATGAGAAAACTTTATGGGATGTATCTTTTAAGAAAAGTTGTATATAAATTTTGAGTAATGTGGAAACATATTATCTTGTTATGAATGTACTTTTCTGAGAGAAGCAACATCCATAGGGGCTGCTAAATTGATTATTATTGGTTGTAGCCTATCTGCATCAGGTTTAATGGTTTTTCCTTCCATTGTATATTCAAGAATATTGATAGTTGACATTGAACATTTACTATTTTCATCGTTTCGTATTAGATCATACTAACATATTAATATTCATATATTCTTAATTCTCTTGAATTTATTCTAGAGTAAAAAGCCAATTTGTTCTCGATGAAACCATAAGCCCAAACTGCACCAATGCACGTGAAATTTTCGCCAATGCCTCATCGAAATTTATAAAATGCTCCATAGAATTTTCCAGGCCCATTACATTTTGCGAGAACTGTATAGCAAAGTATATCAATGTCCTTAGCAGTTATCACAATATGTCTCTGGTATACCACAATTAACTTACTTATTTAATTTAAAAGTTAATTTTAGTTATTTTAGATTACAAATAATGGAACCCCTTGCATCAACTATTTCGTAAATAACGATAGACTTGGTATAGTTCAAACCTTATATGAGAATAGTGTTAACTTATGGAATAGAGCTAAATGTTATGGTATAATAATATTAACATATTTTTTAATAATTTACACCTAATCAAACATAATTTTTAGAATGCTTTGAATTGAAAAATGGCACAATAACGCCATACATTTCAAACCAAACGGTAACATTTCTAGAACTATTTTCAAATTTCTCTTCGTGCCAAAACAACACCGAAGACGAAGCAATATGTGCCATATGCGATGACGAATATCAGGTGTTACAAGATTATTTTTTCAGTATCAGTAATGAAAATGAGAAAATCGGAGTTTGTATGGATATAGTTGATATGGTAAAAAGACACTTAATAATTAAGTACTAATTTTTCATATTTTTAATATTCCAGATGAACTCTACTTGGACCTATTGGGGCAACAAGTGCTGTAAATTCAGAAGGCACAAAGAATACGGTTTTATATTTTCAACAGTTGCAGTTCTTGTCACGACAGTTTTGTTTTATATAATTGCCCAAATATATGCCAAAAAGAAACAGCCTACAATAGTCGAACGTAAGGTTTTTTTTACAAACTTATAATGATTTTTATTGCTATATCATTTTTCAGAGACAAGATTTTTAAACACTTTGGAGACGTGAGAGGACTGACCTGTTAATTTGTTGCAGTTGAGTTTGTGAAATAAATTTTATAAATTGATAATAATATATAAGGTAATACACATTTTTATTTTTCTTTCAGTTGTTCTGTTACCACTTAATGATTTCACTAACCACCTTGTTTGTCGATGTTATGTTAATGCTAATTCCTCCCTAATTTCTTAGACTTTATGGATAGGTGTCACCATAAAACATTCACCCACGACCTTTTTTTGTTTAGGATTCGCAAAAACACAAAAATCGTAGAAATCTGGAATTTCCAGTGAATCTTATCCTACTGGAGGACTACAAGCCTTGAAAATTTCAGTTTGTGAGCAGTTATGAAGTCAAGTTCTAATTCCGGAATTGGTTTGGCACCATTAGAAGAATAGGAGTTTCAATACATGGCTCCAGGTTGTTCGAACTCTGGGTCAAAATTGAGAAAAGCCGGTGAAAATCTGTAGAGTCATATCGTGAGCTGTTGATCGCGAAGACTAACTCCGGAAGATGAACGTTTCATTTTCTGTGATCATCCCCACAAAATTATGCTACCAATGTTTTGATAGTCAACTTGCGGAGTATATGGCGGTGTAAGTCGATGTTCAATTCCCATCTCCTATCTCCTTAAGAAGTTCCTTAAAAGGCTGTCCAGTAAGCTGTGTTCCGTTATCCGATATAACGATTCGAGAACATCTAAAGCCCGGGACACATCTGTCATGCATTCTTCCGATCCGACTCCGATCATACAATCAGGGTCCTTATTCTTGGAACAGGAAGCAGCGTTTCCAGGAGAACGAGTATTCCGCTGCTCCCCTGTTCCAAGAAAAAGGACCTTGATTGTATGATCGGAGTCGGATCGGAAGAATGCATGATAGATGTGTCCCTGGCTTTAAGCGTGTGATAATATTTCCGTACAGAGCCATGGCAGTGGCTTTCCTGATTGCAGGGTACTCCACCCATTTAGTGAATTGGTCTTGCATAACAATCATGTAACAGTGATCGAGGCAGTGGACCAACCAAGTCAGTACTAACGGTATCCCATTGGCAATTGTTCCTTGAAGGCTGCATTTTACCAGGCGTCTGCTCTTAAGTTTTATATCGCTGACATGATTAACACTTGCGAACATACTGGGCAACGTCTCGAAACATGCCTGGCCAATAGTAGTGAAGGGCTATTCTGGAGGTTGTTTTGGCGATACCTAGATTCTCCATCAACACCGAGATTTTGGCACACAAAGTTTGTATGGATCACTTAGCTCGGATTCGGTGAGGTCGGACATATCTCAGAAGTGACGGTATAGTCGTCCGTCCCGGATGCAATAATCTGGAATAAAATCTGGATTATTTTTTTCCTCAGTCTGTTTAGGATTATACCACGAACATAGAACAAATTCCTCTTATTCCTCAAAGATTGACCGCCAATAGCGCCAATAATAGCAGCAGCAGCAGAGCGACCATCAGCAGGTACCGTTTCTACCGACGCCGACGCCGCTCCCACGTCATCGCGCCGAATTCAAATGTATAGGTTAGTGGTTGCTTTAAGGGTAGGTCTGATACCGCCGTCTATCTCCATGCCATGGTGACATGTTATGTAACCGACGGTAGCTTGCATTTCATCGGTATGGGCCCGAATTGACGTGTCTCGCAGGAATAGAAAAAGAGAGCTTAATTGTAATAAATACAAGTTAGAAAGTAATAAAAGATGACATGCGCGCGCAACTCGTGGCTGCAGTGTTGCCAGATTGTATTGCTGCAGAACAAATTTAGAGAATACAAATCAAACATTATAACATTAAAGAAGTGAAATAGTGTCAAGTGTTTCACAACGCCTTAAATAAGACAAAAGGAGAGCTTTGAAGTCAATGTTAACATCGTTTGCACCTCTATTTTGATAAATGTTTCATCCGGCAACATCGCACAATGAAATTAGGCAATTCAATCCATCTGTCAAAAAGGAAAATTCAATGTGGCGTGGCGGCCAAGCAAGTTTGTTTTGAATATGTTTTTATGCGTATTTTAAATTATTTTGCATACAGTTTTGCTTACAACTTTGATTTCCATTATTTAATAAAATATTTGTTGACTAGGTACCTAAATTATTAATTCGGGCAGAAACTAGATATTTTTTTGTGTTTTTTGGCCCATGTGTGGCCGCCACGCCATCTTGAATGTCACGTGGTTTGAATTGCCTAATTGCAAAGGAATATGTGAAGTATAATCTAACATAACCTTAAACGACACTGCGGTCTGCGGTGAGTTCAAGTAATACGTAAAGTATTAGTTTGTACTTTGTCGAATTACACGTTACAAAGAAAGACGGAACGATTAGTTCTAAACTCGTCCCTGAATTCGAATATGACGCTAGCCCGTAATAAACTCGATTCTCATTGGACGCTCACCTGCAACCCACGAGTTGCGCGCGCACACCAGGTATTACGAGACACGTCAATTACGTACGATGCAATGCAGAGAACATTCAGCATTCTATTTTTAACCGCGATTAGTCTATCTCTCTGCCTCTTGCAGCGGTACGGACCCGTACTAAGGAGATGAGTGCGGACGAAGTCTGTGACGTCATGCCATCAGGCCCCGTATTACAGATGGTATGACGACGCAGATTAGGCTTACGTATGGCTAGGATAGCGATGCTTTCTCTCTCTTTCTCTTCGTTTTATTCTGTTTCTTACCTGTAAAGCAACCTACTGATCGACAATCTCAGCCGCGCATGCGTATTTTATATTTGAGAATCATGTACACCAGGTGAAAGCGATAATGGCTCGTTTTCTGTTCTCTGTCTCATGTTTGTGTTGTTTTGTCCGTTTGCGGTCGAGAGTCTTTTACCGTCTGACGTCACTACTGTTTTAGCTTATTATCAGTATATTTTAGCAAACACGAACGATGCTTTATTTTCCTTGATTGTTGGTTTCATTTCTACCCATATCGTATCTATGACCCCTGGCATACCGTTTCTCCACTGTATAAAAGCATCCTGGTACAGGTGGGCCCTTTACCACCATAATCTAAACGGTGGCGCCCGAGATAACCGTTGGACTGTAAGTCGAAAAATCCCTAGAACATCACTATATACAGGGAATCCTAAAATAGCGTTACAAATTTGGCGCCCGAGCAGGGACCATTCTGCGCATGTCAAAGACATCAACAAGTGACCGCAACAAAATTACGTCATCATCCGTCCCCCGTTAAAACCGAGAGACCGTTTATTTTGGTGCCCACCGATTGGTTGATCATAACCGTGCCGTTTTAATGTGACTCCCTACCGCTTATTACCAAATAAAATGAACCGCTCCGTTTTGGTTCTTTCTGCGCATACGCGCACTTAAGTTTTGAGTTTTACCTCGTTTCCGACTAAATTAGGGAGATAATTTCATCTGGAGAGGAAAGAAAGCGACGTTGCCAAGTATTCAAGAAATATTACGATTTTCGCCTACATAACGAAAACATCCCGTTGGGAAAAAGCAATCTTATCCGTACACTTATGCGTAACCAACCTTTGAAAGAAGAGGATGCGTGCGCATACCCCTCCTACCACCTATTTCAAGTATGGTGGGGAGGTAGGTACTCACCAAAAAGGAATATAAATATCAATATCACCAACTCACTCAAAAAGGACAGTTCCCTACGACCGCTCGAACAAGCAACAGCAGGAAGCAACCGACACAATTCAGCTGCCGAAATACCGAGTTACTACAGAGAGGAGACCGCAAAAACAAACCGGTAAGCTATTAGACACTGTAAATTCCACATTCAACTGAGATGCCAACAAGTGGAGAGTTTTACACCACACTCGACGATCCACGAGGAAAAACCGAGCTTCTAGCAGCAATAAAGTAATCATCGGGTTGACTAGCTGTGGACTACCTTTGTTAAGGAGTTATTGTTACCTGCTTACCTGTTCCGTTGGCAAACCGTTTACCGTTACCGTACAGTTTTGACTGAGCAGTGGGAAGCAGGATGACAGAAGGCACCGGCAGCAATGGTAACCCAACGGATACCAGCAGTGCTAGCCCTACAAGTACAACACCTGTGGTAATAATCACCACCAGTCCACCTTCCACTACGGCGATATCCCCGATAACTTTACCCGCAATAGGGGGCCCTGGCCTATGCGATCCTAATGACGTCCGAGTAAAGGTATGGTTTGTTAGGATAGTACGCGAAGCGCAACTGACAACGTAAACGTAGTCATTGGTTCAGGTATGACGTACACCCGTTACCTGACGTCAGCGTCAGAAAACCAATGACGACGTTTACGTTGTCAGTTGTGCGTCGCGTACTATCTCCTCGTTTTTTATTCTCAACGGTGACTTCACCGATGAGTGAGCTATCTTTGTTTAGTGAATGGAAAATGACAATGACGGTCATAGAATGGTGGATCCATCAGTAAAATTTGATGAGAATAAAAACACATAATATTCTAACAAACCGTACCTTTAGTTGGGTTTATCAACTAAAGAAAGAGGATCCTGATTATAGAGTTGACTAAGTTTGTATTAGATACTTCCGGTATCTTGAGAAAGCGATCCGATTAGGTAAAGCTACGCCTACACAAACAAGCCAGCGTCATTAGCGACAACCGTTACAGTCAGTACGACGCCAATACCAGCCATCATCATCATGGTACAATCACCTACATCGTCCCCGACGGCTTATGGTTCATCCGTTTCTCCACTGAAAGTACATAAATAGAATATATACTTCGACGGCCGGATAGACCCAGCTACTTTCATGGAAAGGCTTGAAGAAATCTGTGCGTCCTGCAGGGAATCGCAATAAACCGTTTATTACCCCACATGCCGGAACTATTGCAGAGCGAGGCTTCGCTATGGTATCAAAACAATCGTTCTCACTGGATGACCTGGAACGATTACCTACAAGATTCCCGCAGTTTTCATTTTCCGCTTAATTATGCCGCCGATCTGGAAAGTGAAATTAGCCGTCGCCTGCAAAAACCGACTGAACCAACACACCGATACGTGCGACTGATTTGCAAACCCTTATCAGGAGACATGATGGCATTACTCCGGAACAGGAATTTCACTGGTTATATCATAACCAAAATATTGATACTTAACACACAATTTGAACAATTATTGATGATAGTGACAACATAGTTTTCTGTGTAAATGAATAAATTTAATGTTTTTTCCATTCTTATTTTATTCATGTAAAAACCTCCAATATGTCTTTAAATTATAGCGAGGGAAAAAGCAACTTCAATTTCGCAAAAACATGTTTAAATAAACAATAGAGCGACAACCGGCTGCCAACCCAGCGTAGAAAGGACGAGGAAGTGAAAATGTATAATTTCCACTTTTGTTCGTCCTTCTGACTTATGGGGTAGAACCTTCCCTTGTGAACCTTACTTAAAACGTGGTGGACATGGTGAAGGGAGGGGGATGGCCCGCCAACCGCTCCTGTTCAAGCCTCAGTAGGTTCATATTCGCACTAAAAAACGGCCTTCTAACAGATGACTGAGGCTTTTTTGTTACGGGCTCTTAGACTACACCTGAAACAGTCAGGCTGTTCATTTGTACTGCTTTTCTTGCTTTAAGCAGATATCAGCAGCTGATCGGCGATCACTTGTCCCATAACTCCCATATAATAAGCTCATAAAGAACAGCTCCTAGCAGATCTTCCTGATTTTCCGAGCAGGTAGCAGGTACAAATGATTCAATCCCAGGAAATTTTAGTAACATCGTTACAAGCTCATTTGGAGTTCCTTAGGGTGAATTTTTCGATTTCTCAAGATTTATTTATTAGGACTACTTATAAACTATAAAAATCGAATTTAATTGCCTAAAAAATATGACTCCACTTGTAAAAATATTTATAATTATGAACCTACTAACTATTCCAAATCACTAAGATCAAAATCAGACATTAAATCTAAATCTTTCTCAACTTTCTTACTATTAATTTTCTCTTTATCCTCAACATCTTGACTTTTATCAGTCACTTTTTCGCCTAAAATACTACTAGCAATACTCGTAGTGCTACCGCCTTGTTTCTGAAATAAAACTTCTTGAAGTTTACTCGACTCGCTTGCCAAGTCAAACAAAACTTTTTTCTTGGACAAGGAGACTACTGAAGGGAAACTTTTCAGAACTCCTTTTTTGGCTTCTTCCAAAGATTCATCGTCGGATGATGGTTTTTTTGAAAGAGATTTCAGTTCCGCAACTACATTTGAGTACAAATTTGTTTTATGGGAATTTTGTTTGACAATATTTTCACTTTCGCTATCAGTGTCGTACAAGGCTGGGTTAATTTCGCGCTTAGGGCTTTTGTGGTTTGGTGAATTCCTAAAAAAAAAATTGTAATATATTTTTTTTTTATGGATAAATGTTTGATTAACTTACCTCATGCTACTTTTAGGCCTATAACCAATCCTTACGATATTTTGCAATTTTTCTATATTAGATTTTGTTCCAGACCTTTTTACTTCTAATTGTGTTTTATTGTTCATTTTTTCATCACACTTTTTGTTGATAATATTTTTGATTTTCTTTTTAATGCTGGTAAAATTTGGAAAAGTCTAAAAAATAAACATTTTTAATTTTTAAAAAACATATTTGTGAATTACTTAGTACTTTTTTGGTTAAAGTAGCTTGATGGTTGATAATTTCAAGAGCTCTATCGAAAGATCTTTGTGGCAGACCTTTCCAATTATCCGAAATTCCTAGATCTTGTAATCTATGGTAGACCATTTCCTCAACTTGTTTATTTATATCGATGACTGATTTATTTGAATTATTGCTTCTTCTATAAAATTTATTAAGATTTAATTCTTATTGGAAAATGTTTTTGTAAAGGTTTTACCTGGAATGCGTCTGTTTGTCCAAATTGTTTGATACTGATGGTTTTTCTTTTACTTTTTCTTTCATAACCTTAGCTGAACATGGACTATATTCGGGAGTTCTAAAATAATTCCTAATACATTTTTGAAAACAACAAATATTATTACTCACCTCACACTAAGTTTTGCTTTAGACTCTTTCACTAAAACCTCTGCTGGCTTTTTTATAGGTTCTTCAGATTCTTCAGACTCTGATTCTTCTGACTCAGATTCTGATTGACTTTCTTCCTCAGATTCACTCTCTTCTTCACTGGAAACTTTTTCAATTATTACAGACTTAGTCCTTTTTAATGACTTTTCACTGACATCTTTAGCAACAATATCTTCCTTTTTTTGCTTGTCTTGTAGTTCTTTAATAGCATTTATCAATGTTTCTCTAGTTTCAATATTTTCAGCAACAATAACAGAATTTCGTGTTGGTTTGGTCCATTTGCTTCTAGGTTTTGCTCTAGGTTTGACTTCTTTTATTTCAATATTATCATTATCTTTTGTTTGAATGGTATCATTAGTTTTGTTTTGTTCAATATCGCTCAGTCTATTCCAAAAAGCTTGCATTTGCCCTTCAATTCCGGCTAAAGTTGCTGAGATTTTGGCCTCTACAATATTTTGCTCTTCATGATTTTGTTGGTCACTTTGCTCTTGGACTTCAAGGACGTTTTTGTTTTGCACGTTTTCTAGGTGCAAAACTTTGTCAGTTTGCGTTGTAGTTTCAGTTTTTTCCATTTGAGTTTTTGGTTCTATGTTTTCTTTGTTTTGTACAACAATATTGAATAATTTACTATAGTTTTCTTCATAGAATGATTTTTGTCGTTTTAATTCTTTTAGTTCATCTTCAACTTGGTTTTTAAAACTATCAAATTTCTTCAACAATTCAAGCATATTTGAATTTTCGTTAATATTGTTATTTTTCTCTGTGCTTTGTTCTTCTTTTTCTTTTAAAAGTTTTTCGGTATTGTTCAATCGCTCTTTTAATTCTTTAATTTCCATATTTAATCTATCGGTTTCAAAATTTGAAGTTTCAAGGTTTTGGTTATTGTGTCTGCGTTTAATGTGGGCATTTAAATAGTCTTCAGAGCCAAAAACTTTAGAGCACAAAGAGCACTTGAAACTGGCAAAAACTTGTTGTTTAGTTAAAGTTTCTACGTGCCCTTGAAGATCTTCTACATAAAGTTTAAGTTCTGTATTTTCCTAGAAATAATTTTTTTGCTTTTTATACTTATAGAGCTATAGATAAAAACTTACCTCTTTATTTTTGGTAAGTTCCTTTTTAAGAAGCGTCACGGTATTATCCAGATACTTTTTACAAAATAATAAATATTCTACAGCCAACTGGCTTATCCTAAATATCTTAACGAAATTTGTGTCTAGTACTTTGGCTTGTTCGTCATCTAATATGTATTGTACCACTGTGGAAATGTAACGATCTACAGAGGCTACGTCTCTTTCTTTGACTATTCTGTCTACATCTACAATACCTACAATAGAGTGTAGAATTTGCAGATGAGTTAAAAAATTATATATAAATAATAGAAATATAAAAACTGCAGAAAAACCCCACGAAGACATAAATCGAATTAATAAAAGACTACCTAACGAAAACGATAAAAGAAACAGCAAAAAAATATCATGAAACCAAGAAAAATTTAGCAAAGAAACAAAGCAATAATATTGGAGAGAAGAGATCTCATAAAACAAGGAAAAGAAGATATGATAGACCAGAATACAGAGTAGAGACTAACAAAATAATCAGAAGGATGGCAAAACAAGACATTAAAAACTACCAAGAAGCCCAAATCGAAAAACTGATAGAACAACAAAAAGGCTTAAACGTTTTCAAAAGGGAGAACGCACACAAAAGAGAAAATACGAAGCTGATGAACAAATGGGGAAGCCTTATAGAAGACAGAAAAGATATATTGTGTGTTGCGGAAAATGTATATAAGGAACTATATAACGTAAAAAGCAACAAGGAAAATAACAAACACAAAACAAAAATGAAAAAATCCACAAAATTAAGTCAGAATTAATGGGAGAGAAAAAATAAAAACTGTTAGGGACAAGTCATCAACACATTGACATAGTAAAGTAAAAATAAAATAAAAATAAACCTTGAAACTAAAAAAAAAAACAAAACAGGTAACTAACTAAACAATAGTGTCGCTTTACAGCTGAATACGAGCCTAAACAACAAACAAAAATATCGCAAAATACTCAAAACTCCCCAAAAGATAAAACCCCTCATAGGCCAATAATCTTTTTACCCTATTTATAAACACCCTGTAAACTACAATTCGTCGAAACTGGACTAGCAATTTATTGCTAAACAGCCTTTTACTATTGTAAAGAATCGAGTTTTTGGTTGAAGTTGAAGAGGGTATGGGAAAGTCAATGGTAAACGAGCTACGAGTATTGATACAAGGTGTGTACCAGCACTCAGACCACAGACCCAATATGCAAATGCTATAAGCAGTCAGTATCTTTTCAGATTCAATCAAATCAAAAAATACTTTACTATCCAAGAAAATAAAATTTTTGGCCGTCTTAAGGATAAACAAGGAGCATAACATATTCTGCGACAGGAAATAGAGTCTACAAAAGTCTCTTTGGCCAATAAAGTATTTGTTCCGTTATTAGCGAAATTGGTATAATTTCAGCTTCACCGTAAGTGCTACCAAGTGAATATTATTTTAAAAATGGCTCAAATACGGAGAAATAAAATGTATAAGGCCAGGGTATGACGGAAGTGAGTACCTACTAGGTACACATTTCAAAGAATGTACTACTCTTGTTAAGTAGGTAGATAGATATTTATACTATGGAGTAGGTAACCTATATACTTTGTGGTGATTCTATTGTAACAAAACGGCCTTAAAATCCTTTTTTTTTGCTTCGTAATACAATTAATTGGCTTTTTTACCCAGCGAGAATAAGTCGCTAAATTTCTGACGAAACCGTGTCAAGAGCCAAGGGTTATCAGTCGGTTTCCAAAAGAGTGTGATGACTGTGTCCTTAAACACGACTCTCGACTCCTGGTTCCATGAACAAATCGCATATTTTGCGACCGATAAGATCTCAGTTTTTAGAGCAAGTATTTGGCAAATTTATTTTGCACTCCTTCTATCCTTCTAATGTGGCATACGTAACGTGGAGTCCAAATTGGGCTGCTGTATTCAAGTGTGGATCAAATGAGACTGTAATATTATAGACAGATAATGGACTTCGTATCATATGTCTCTGGTGTCTCGTTTGATGAAAACTAGAACTCTAGAACTTTTTATGACTATGTTGTCGATGTTTTTGTTATTGGAAGACAGGTCTTTTTCAAAGGTGACTCCTCGGTCTCTGAAGGTGTCGACTGTTTCCAGATTGGCGTTGTTGATGGTGTATTGTGGGCAATAAACGATTTATGGTCTTTTAAAAAATTATGCAGCAACATTCAGTTTGAGAAGATTTGAGTTGCACCAAACGACCAACCTGTCCAAATCCGGCTGGAGAGAGGTAGAGTGTCCACAATTGCAAAAAATTTCAAGTCGTCAGCGTATAGTGAGCAGTGGGATATTTGGAAGCATTGGATGGCGTCATTTATGAAAAGAACAAACAGAATCGGTCTGATGTGCGATCCCGGATGGAACAATGAACTCGTGGGATACTGCATCGCACATACCAACTCTTTGACATCTTTCCGTTGAGTACGATTCTATACATTTTAAGAAAAGTGCATCCAAGCCCATGTCTGAGGGTTTTCTTGAATTAGCCACTTTCTAGAAAATACTGCTGCTCTTTTCTATTTCTTGCAGATAGAATTCTACGTTCGTAGTGAGGGAATGTTTTTTCAATATGAATAAAGAGCAATTATTTAGTGCAATTTTCCAAAAACCAAGAATATGGGATCAGCGTCACAAATCTCATCATAACAGATATGTTTCACACAATCACTATCAGAACTAGACATTTTCAATTTTCAGTAACGACTCGATAATAAATATTTTCCGAAATGACAACTTGAAATGAAATGCTCCGATATATTTTCGTTTGTTCAATGAGCGGCGATATGCGCAGTGTCAGCAACGCGGCAAGATGCTATAAGGTCTTTGAAATATCCAATATCCGTCAAGATCATGTTCGCCAGTTTTCCTGATTCCAAAACTTTCGTTAGGAACTGTTGGAAGGCAGCAGTGGATTTTCCCTTCATTGGAATTGTTAGGGCCTCTAACTGAGGTGTCAACATTTAATTTAGGGATAGATCACTGGATCATAAAGAGGATGGGGATGTCACTGCTAAATAATGCACTCACACTTCCAGTTTTATATCTCTCTATTGTTGCCAAAATAATCGTTTAATAAAGTAATAAATACTGTAACCACATTCAAGTACTTTTAATTATTCATAGGTTAGTTAACAAGTCGCATTTGAGTTATTCGAGAACATTCACTAATCGGTATAAATTCACTAGTTGCTCAGTGCTCAATAGTCAATTTAACAATAATTGTCAGTATTAGCGGAACGCTAATATTTTAATTGAGAGCACAAGATAAAGTTTATTCTTAATAGAAATCTTCGGGAGTTGAGAGTTTTTATATTTTTAGAGAGCCCTTAAATAAGGGGAGTGTGATTAACTCAATGTTTTACGCGATATTATATCACTTGAGTTTTCAAGCCAGCAGCCAGAGAGATAAAAAAATAAGTCTTTTTATTTAGAGAGCGAGAGAGAGACTGCACAAGGGTGCAACTAGAGAGAATAATTAAATAATTAGAGAAAAGTGAGCAGGTTCAAACTTGTATAGAGCTAGACGTTTTTGCGCACTATTTACTGCTAGTGAAACCACACTACTAAAATCACACTGCTAAAATCACACTGCGAAGTGAAAAAGATAAGGAATGCATTTTTTCCCTTAGCGACAACAACCAGACTGGATCGATGCAGTACAGCCTGGTACGGCGCCAGCGGCAAAGTTTCACGGCGGGGGGCTTTTTTGCAACGTTGCCACTGTGATCATAAAAAATAAATACGATTGTTTGGCTGTTTCCACAACAGGAATATATCCACGTTTCAACTAATACATAACATATTATAATGTCAGTATTTTGATTATAACATTCGTCATCCAATCTATTACGCATACTCTGTATGTTATAATAAGATATGGGTAATATATTTTTCCTCTCTAATAACGCTTATACCATTTCTAGTTTTTTAAACTACTTTCATCTTCTATCAGCTAGATTTTACTTGTATCAGATTTTCTCGATAAGAATATTGCCGTTGCTGAACCATAAATAAAAAAATTTCTAACCCTTGTTGTCTTTGAATTCTTTTGCGGCCTTGAACAGTTGTTGTTCCACTAGGTCATAATAATATGATAGTTTAGGTATATAAATATTCCCATTATCATTTTCCATTCCAAAATCTGCTGCTTTTAACTGTCTGCTTTTCTTAGTTATCACTTATCATACAACGTTTCTTATCCTCAGCGCATCCAAATGTTATCTTAATTTTAGGCATTTTTTCCCTTGTTGTTTTTTACCTACTTTGGTCTGGGTGAGAACGCTGTCAACTTTTTAAAGAGTTACTTGTCTAACCATATGCAGAGTGTTGACAATGATGCCTTTGACTCTTGGCACTTGGCAGTGGTGTTCCGCAGGAGTCGATACTCGGGCCTTTGCTTTTTGTCTAGCTACAATGGACATGTTTGATCACGTCACTGATAGCAGCATACATCAGTACGCAGGTGTACGCTAGTTTCGACAAGTACAGTGGTGCTGAAGCAAGTGTGAAGCTGAGCAACAGTCTGGAGCGTATTTTTGAATATTCGAAAAGAAATGGTTTAAAACTAAATCCCACTAAGTCCGCAATAATGTATTTTGGACCAAATGCAAAATGGGCGAAAGAAAATATTATGCGTATTGCCATAAATGGTGTCGTTTTGGATGTAGTAACAGAATATAAAAACTTGGGTGTTGTATTTAACACAGATTTACGCTTTAGAACCCAAATTAGCAAATTATCTCGCAGGTGTTACATCTCTTTCAGATTTATACAAAAGTAAATACATATTAAATGAAAAGTTGAAAAAAAAAATATTTGTGAATTCGTAGTGCTTTCAAACTGTAATTACTGTAGTATTGTTGAACTTGAGAAAATTCAGAACAGTTGCATTCGTTATGGGCTCAGGGCTAGGGATCATGTTAGTTTTAAATTGCGGGAACTAGGTTGCCTAAATGTGCAGGATAGGGTTAAGCTTCATTTAGCTTGTTTCGTTTGGAAGATACTGCGTTGTGGAGTTCCTGAATATATTAGAAGTAAATTATGCTATGCTTCAGAAATCAGGTGCACAATCGCGGTACAAGGTATTCTACATGTTCCAGTATTCCCAAGCATAAAACGGCACTATTTCAGCGTTCATTTTCTTATTCGGTTCCAATGGTGAGATATCTGGTAGGTTTGACGAAATGTCCTCCCTCCCTTTAGCAGGTTTAGACTTACTTTTAGAAGGACCTTACTAAGTCGATATTGACATGACCGTGTTTTTTCAATTTTTTTTTTTTACTCTTCCCCTTCTTTTTTGTGAGGGGTTCAATTTTATTGTCTTTCTGCAGGTACCAGTGAATAGGGTCAATATTTGTAACAATTTTATTGTAATTTGAATTTGAATGCTAGGTTAAGTAAACAGCTATGCTGTCCTTCGCCGAGTGAAAAATAAAGGCCATTTATTATTATTTATTGCCTTTCTTCAGCCATGGAAGTATGTTTCGAAGAATCACCAGGTGCACACCGTGCACCTAAGGTGTTCGATTTAGTCTAATGGTTTGTTTTTCCTTGCTAAATTACTTTTCGCACAATATGAGCTGTGCTCAGTACTACTGCCTTTTGCATGCTTGCTTAGTATTATGATGACCAGGAACTTCTTTAATGATTTCGCATGTATAGTTGGATACAAGTCCTGTGGCTCCAATCACTATGGGTATAACCTTTGTTCTCAGGTTCAGGTTCCACATTCGTTGTACCTCAATTTGCAGGTCTTTGTATTTTATGCGTTTCTCAGCTTCTTTTTGACTGATGTTGTAGTCCGATGGTATGGCAACATCGATAAGGAGGCAAGTTTTCTGTTTTTTATCTTTCAGTATAATGTCTGGTTTGTTAGTATCGATTCTCCTGTCTGTCTGTACTTGAGTATCGCAGATTATGGTTATTTCAGGTGTTTCTATAACAGGGTCTGGGATGTGTTTATACCATCGGTCTTGTGTTGGTATTCCGTAAGCTTTGCATATATTCCAGTGCAGTTGTTTTGCCACAGGTGTTATGACGTTCCAAATAAGCTCGCTTAGACAGGATCGGGCAATTAGACACGACGTGATGAATGGTTTCATCAAATGACCGGCAGATAGTCTACATTTTGGGTCAGTACCGGTTTTCATTATTTTCGCCTTCATATAATTCGTCGCGATGGCTTGCTCCTGGCAAGCGGTTATTAGTGATTCCGTATTGCATTTTAGATCTGCGTGAGTAATCCATTTCCACGTTTGACTCTTATTAATGGTCTCTTTTTCGGCTTCATGTAAAATTTGACCATGCATGGTCTTTTTCTGCCATTTTTCTTTTTGTTCTTGTTTTGACTGTTGTGTCATTTCATTTTTAATGGTTTCTACTCTTTTGGTTTCTGTTTCATTTTTGGTGGTGGATTCTACTTGCTCGGTATCATATTTTGAATCTTTATCAGTTTGGTCCAGTTTTTTCTGTTGTCGGTATACTATCCCTAGGTATTGTCTTCCTTCTTTAGCTTCAAGTAGTTTTCCAAACTTGCCATAGCGATATTGTGGGTGTTCTCGAGGCTTGTCATTCCTCTTCCCCCCTCTTTCCGTGGGATGTAAAAACGGTCAACATCAGCTTTGGGTTGGAGTGCTCCATTCACGGTAAGTAGTTTTTTTGTCTTACAATCAATGTTCCTTATTTCTGCTTTGATCCACTTGACGATTCCAAAGCTATATATTAAGACAGGTACTGCTAGAGATGTAATAGTTGTGGCTTTGTATTTTGCATTTAATTCGGTTTTAAGGTAGTAGGTATTCACATTTCATCTTGCTTTTCACTCCGTTATGCTCATCTATGCCTAGATATTTATAAGCTTCATGTTGTTCTAAGGATTGTATTATTTTTTCGTCAACTAGTTGGATATTCTCTTTCGCTTGTATTTTCCCATTTAGGAAAGTTGTCTTCGCACATTTTTCAAGACCAAATTCCATTCTAATGTCGTCACTAAACCTTTTTACTTACCTTTATTCAGCATTCCCAGCGCGTTATGCTAGAGGTGGAACAGGGAAAATCGTTTTCGTTCTCTATTTGACGTTAGACTTTTTCTAGACATTTTATTCTATCGCATTAAAATTGGCATGTAAGATGTTGACTTGCCAGGCGTGTATAGGCATTCTCAAAACTATTCAAGAACAAATAGAAAATTAGGAATGCATGAAGATGCAAACGAAGTGAAGATCAAAAGAGGCGTAAGCGCGTAAGACAAGGCAATTTAATATCACCTTAGCGGTCCACCCTGGTCCACGAAGGAAAATAGAGGACAGTGATCAATAAATAGAAAACCTCAATAATTTAAGATTCGCTGATGACATCGTAATATTCGCCCCAAACTAAACAGACTTGAGAGAGACAGAGTTACTTCAAGAAGCCAAAAAGATCGGATTGGAAATGAAAATATCAATAACAGAGTTTATGACAAATGAGGGACACAATTTAAAAATTTTAATAGAAAACCAAAAGATGAAAAAAGTAAACTCCTACAAGTATCTAGGACAGGAAATAACACTTGGCAAAGTCAATCAAGAGATATCACAGACACATACTCCGATCCAAATTACCTTTGAGCAGCTGAAAACTAAAGTCTACAATGAACTGAATGAATGTATTCTGCCAGATGTTGCCTATAGAAGCAAAACATGGATTCTCACAAAGAAAATCGTAAATCAAGTACATCAGAGAGCAATCGAAAGGAGAATGATAGGTTATTACTCTAGGGATCACAAGACCAACAAGTGGATAAAAAACAAAACAAAGGTCACAACTGGAACGAAAAGTAACAAGATGGAGATTCTGGGTGGAACGAAGAAGCGTCGGCAGATCTCAACAACGCTGGTACGACGACATCAAGCCAAGAGCAGGACTAAAGTGGTACCAGGTCGCACAGAATAGAGATACCTGGCAAAATCTGAGAGAGACCTATATCCAGAGGATAGAAAACGGTAAGGAATAAGAAGAGAAGAAGGATTGACGAGCTGAAAAATAGCTGGAACGGTTCTCATGTCCGTTGGAACAGAGCTGTCATGATAAATGGGTACATTCAGGCGGTCCCAGCGGCTAAGCTCAGCCACTCAGCAGGGACTTTATTCTCGAAACCGAGGAACAGCGTTCTCATGAGAACAGTTGCTCTGTCAGTGTTATGAAAATTAGAATACGGACGGCGAAGACAGAACCTTCGTTTTCATGAGAACGCTGCTCCCCTTTTTCGAGAATAAAGTCCCTGCTGAGTGGCTGAACTTAGCCGCTGGCACCGCCTGAATGTACCCAATCTTAATTTTTGCTAAAATGGACCTACTTATACTATACATATGTATAATAATTGTTAATAATTGATAATTAATTAGAAAATTTCTAGACAATTTATTATTGTGCTTTGAAACTATGGTTTATTTTTTTCCAAGATAGATTTTGGCATTGTCAACTTTGAAACATAAACAATGCCGCTTATTGGTCGCTATTGTAAAACTGATGTAAACCTGCAGAAACACCTCATTTTGCGACCAGTCAGGGTCGAGCATTATTGTTTATGTTTCAAAGTTTTCAATGTCAAAATCTTGGGAAAAAATAAAGTGTAGAAATTTTCTGTATTCAAGCTAAAAAAGCAGAATACTTACCTACTAGAAAAAAAACAATGATACCGCAAGATTAATAATACCTGATTGTTACCTTTTGAAACAAGCACACAACAATAAAGCAAATGAACAGACAAAAAATCAATAACCTATTAATAGGTCACAATTATTTAATAATAATGATAACAACAATTCGAAAAAATACTCACATATTTTGTTTTTATCCAAATTGGCCGATTTGCACTTATCAAAGGCGAATCCCGTGTCCCAGGCCAAACGTACATAATCGTAATGCCACTGATAATCTTCGAACCACATTTTTAAATCTTTCTCAACTCATTTTGGAAGGTTTTTAGTTAATTTTAATTATTATTTATTTGGATATTTTCAAATTATGGCAATGCAAACAAAAACATTTCAAATTCAAATAAATTGATTTTTAGGCGCTACGCGCCTAGCGCCATCTATCAGCAACGACAATTATTAACTCACAAAAAACTCAATTATTGCTATTTTATTATTTTAAAGTTTTAGAACAATTTAATTGAATTGAATTTTGACTAAATTTTCAAATTAATTATTATTTAATTAATGAAAAAAAGGCACAATAATAATTATAAAACTGAATAAATAATGGCAAGATTACAGTTAACTGTAACATATACGGATGTAGCCTAAATGTCAAAATCAGCTGATGATTGTGAACAAACAACAACAAAGTTTTTCGTTTTTGACCCTTTTTCTTTAATTATTAATTAGAAGATTGATAATTAGCCCTTGAAGTTAATTTATTTTACTAGAACAAAGGCATTACAATGTTCTATATTATCTATTAATACCTACCAATAAAAAGTTAATTCCAAGGACAAATTAATACTTAATTATTATGCCTCGTTTAAGTACCCCCATGCCGAAAAAAACGTTGTTTTCCAGTTCGAAAGACGATAGCGGCAGCAGCAATGGAGAAGATGCCCTTCAAGAGATGTTGAAAGATGCGAAACGTTCAGAAGCGGCGGAAAATCATCGGGCTGCCACTCTACAAGAAATCCATCAGAACCGTTTGAACCATATCAGGAAGGAGTTGTTGGAGCACATCAAGAAGACAGAATGGAAATATAGGCCTATTGAAACTTATATTGGACAGAGTGATTCTCAAGCTGAACATTACAAATAAATAGTTTTGTGGAGAGTTTTGTCTTAGGAATTAAATTGTGAATGTGGAATAATGTGAAGAATTTTTAATAAAAAAACCCTTGATTACTTTTTTTTTTGAAAACAATAATATATTACTTCAAAATTTTACAAACATACTTGAGTTACAATGAACTCTAATCAGTGCCTTAAGCACTGGCCTCGAGTACCCAATTTTGTACACAGTATAGAAGCTATTATCATAAAACTAAATAATCAATAAACTCATTTTTACATAAATCAGCTTACCTAATACCACAGTGCATCTTCAATTTTTTAATAAATAAATTACAATTCTCTATTTGCCTAATTTCTAAAGGTAATCTATTAAATACTAATGACAACTGAAAGAATGGATCGCTAATGCCCACATTCAATTAAACATCCTAGTCGAGATCTTAGTAGGTATATTAATTGCATCTCAAACATTTGTAAATTATTAACATACTTGTACCTACTCACATAAACACAAGATACACACCTATAAGTATGTAAATTTCTAAATTCTAAAATTGAAAAATTTATGGATGAGTAATAAGATCGAAGGTATTTCCTTTAAGTTCTACCTTCATTTTTTTGTACTTAAATACCTAGTTTTATAAAAATTGATGCAGTCTTGCTGGGCTGGAAAGCTTCAGGCGAGGGGTGGTTAACTCCTTAAAAAATGTACACAGATTTTAAATCTTCATTGAATTTGTAGGATTTTGAGGATTTTGAAAATCTTTGATGATTTTACAGGATTTCAAAAGATTTTAGGTGATTTTGGGCCATTTTAGGGAAGTTAGAAGGGTTTTTAGAGATTCTAAAGGATTTTTAGAGATTTCAACGGATTTTTGGGGATCCCAAAGGATTTTTGGAAATGTTAAAGGAATTTTTTTATAACGAATTTCATAAGATTTTGTCGGATTTTTTTGTTCTAATAGAATTTTGTTAGATTTTTAAAGATTTTCAGGGATTTTAAGTACGTTTTACGAGTTTATGAGTTTTTTCTGGGATTTTGACCAACTTGTATACAAATTTTCATCAATTAACCGCTTGAAATTAAGTTAACTCCATAAAATCTGTGCATAATTAAATTTTTATTGATTTTGTAGGATTTTGAGGATTTTGAAAATCTTCACGTGATATTACAGGATTTTAAAAGATTTTAGGTGATTTTGGATCACTTTACGAATTTAGAAGGGGCTGTTATGGCGTTTTTACCAACTAATTTAGGGGAGTCTTGATGATAAGTATTTTTTAAACATTTCTCCATAGAAGACTGTCATTTTAAGGAATACTTATTGTTGAAGCTCCCCTAAAATAGTTGATGGAAACGGCCATTAGGGATCCTAAAGGATTTTTACATAGGATAGGATCTGATAAAATTTTGTGTGATTTTGTGAAATTTTATGCGATTTCAAGTAATTTTTAAGGGATTTTGTGAGGTGGGTATTGTTGAATTTTTAAAGATTTTAGGGATTTTGAATATATCTTACATGTTTTTCTGGACTTGTAGACAGATTTTGACCAATCAACCGCTCCGAGGTTTAGTTAAAACTCTATAAAATAAGGAACACATATAATATTTTAAATCTTAATTGATTTTGTAGGATTTTAGGAATTTTGAAAATCTTTACACATTTTTACAGGAGTTTAGAAAATATTAGATTTTCAAAATTTTAGGTGATTCTAGAGCACTTTAGGGGATTTTGAAAAGTTTTTAGAGATTCATCTAAATTCAAATGACAAATTTGAATGGAAAAACGGAAATTCCTAGACATTTTACTATAGGATTTCATAATACTTTTCTGAATTTCATCATATGATTCTTGGAATTCCACCATAAAATTCAATGGAATTCTTGGACAAAAATTCTTCGGAATTACACTTATACTTATGAGATTTGATGAAATTCTTCGTCATTCCACTAAAATTTCAAGTTTTTTCATGGAAATTCTGCGGAAATTTTCATTAATTCCATAAAAATTCCTTAGAATAGAAAATTTTATGGAATTTCCCGAAATTCCATTCAAATGACAAATTTGAATAGAAAAACAGAAAGTCCTGGAAATTTTTCCATAAGATTTCATAATACTTTTCCGAATTTCACCATAAGATTCCATGGAATTCCACCATAAAATTCAATGGAATTCTGTACAAAAATTTCTCGGAATTACACTGAAAGATTGCAGGAAATTTCTCGAAATTCCACTAAAATTTTATGTAACTCGACAGAAATTACTCAGAACTTCACAAAAATGTAATTCAATTTTTCGGAATTCCGTCAAAATTTCTTGTGGTTCCATGGAAATTCCACGGAAATTCTATTTAATTCCAAAAGAATTCTTCGGATTCCATGTAATTTCACTGGAATTCCACGATAAGATTTATATATGTGATTCGACGAGAATTCCTTGGAATTTTACTCGACATTTCATCGAAATTTTTTGTAAGTCGACGCAAAGTGAAATTATAAATAATTTGATGGAAATTTTGCGAATATTTCATAATTTTTTTTTTCTGAAACCCCACTGAAATTCTTCAAAATTCTATAGAAATTCCAAATTCCATAATTTTCTTAAAACTTCAGTGAAATTCCCCAAAACTTCACCACTGAAATAACCTGGAATTTCACTAATAGTTCCTTTAATTTCTTAGAGATTCCTCAGAATTTCACTAAAATTTTATGAGAATTTTTTGAAATTTCACTGAAAGTCCACGTTATTAGTCGAAAAGGAGCCTGCCCAAAGTATACGGAAATTGTGTTTATGTCAGAATTGGCTGAATTTTGTATATGATGTGGATTACGCCTTCCTGATTAAAAGTTACTATTGCACCAATCCTCAAAAATGACTCATTTTTGAGAAAATTAATTTCATAGGTAGCAAGTAAAACGCTTAGACATTGTAATGGACTTTCAATGTAGCACAAATAGTTGAGCTTATGGGGCAGTGGTGTGCTACGTGGAGTAATTTTACAGGATTAGTGCAATGGTAACTTTTAATCAGGAAGGCGTGATCTACATCATATACAAAATTCAGCCAATTCTGACATAAACACAATTTCCGTATATTTTGGGCAGGGTCCTGTCTCGAAATTCCAATGAAAATTCAATTATTTTCTCAATATTTCAATAATTTCCATAAGAATCTTTGGGAATTTCATTAAAATTCTCTTTCAATAGTCAGGAATTTCTGAAAATATTAATGAAACTTCAAATAAATCATTACATGGGAATTTTTCCAAATTTCACCAAAATTCCAAGTTTTTAGCCGGATATTCCTCGGAATTCCACTTGTGAAATTTTCTCTAATTTTACTAAAATTCAGTAATTCGATGGGAATTTTTCGGAATTTCAATTTCACTAAAATGCCATGTTTTTAACTAGGAATTCCTTGGAATAAAAATAAAACTTCATGTACTTACATTAGGATTTTTCGGAATTTCACTGGAATTTCTTATGAAACGATAAGAATTGTTCAAAATTCCACTCCACTTATATTTCATGTAATTCCCAGACAATTCCTTGGAATTCCATGAAATTGCATCGGAGCTCCATATAATTCGACGAAAATTCCTCGGAAATCATGCAATTTTTTGAAATTCTTTATGTAATTTAACGAGCCCTGAAATTTCATGTTGGGAATTTCGGGGTAATTCAATGTAATTGTTAGAAATTTCTCCATGTAACTCATTCAGGATTTCATGTAATTCGATCGATGAATTCTATGGAAACTCCGAAAAAATTTTACATGTAGGTAATTGCTTTTTTCTATGAGCGTGCGGGAAATGGCTCTTCCCGCACGATTTGCTGTGTGGGAAGACTTTCTTCCCGCACCAGTGCGGGAAGAGTTTGATACACCTGTACCTTTACCTTTAATACCTTTACCTTTTTTTATAAATACCTTTCAATACATTTTAAATTCTACCTTCTGCACAATCGCATTTTATTTAAATTAAACTTCTCGTAACATCAGCTTTAGTATGCTCGTAGAAAAACTATAGTTCAGAATAACATAATTTTACCGAAATTCCACTATAAATTATGGAATTTCAGGACTTTAACAGGTTTTTGGGGATTCCAAAGTATTTTTGGGAATTTCAAAGGAAATATTTTTCAGGAATGTTAATGATTTTATGAGATTTTGCAGGATTTATTTGATTTTAATGAAATTTTGTTAGATTTTGTAGGATTTTATGCAATTTCAAGAGATTTTGTGGGATTTTGTTAAATTTTTAAGGATTTCAAAGATTTTTAGGGATTCTGAGTAGATCTTATGAGTTTTTCTGCGATTTTGACCAACTTGTACACGGATTTTGACCAGTTAACCACCCCTCGGTTTCAGGCATCGGTTCCATTGAATGGTTTTTTAACTTTTTTAAAATTTATTCACTAATGATTTCTGGGTTTTTATTGATTTATCTAAGTTTCTATATTCATCAAGGCGTTAAAAAAAATACATTTATTTGTAGAACCGAGTGTAAAACTCTTATTGGAACAGTTACATAAACAAAAATTTGTACTTACAGATATTCCTTTCAAATTATTGATTGTCTGAGATCTTTGCTTATTAAATTTTAAGTTTGAACCAAATTGAATACCTATCTAAATATTTGAATGAGTTTACTAAAGGAGATTTACATGCTTGATAATATTGCAGGATGTGTCAGTCCTGATGTCCTACTGGTTGTAGAATTGTGGAAAGTAACTTGAAGAAGTGAGCTTTTAAAGTTTCATAGGTATTGATTCCTAATTTGAAAAGTGATGAAACATGGTTAGTGTTAAATGTCGCTAATATATTTGTTGAAAATATTCTATTAGCAGTGTTCAAAAAATATTTTGTGCTATATTTATGGAGAAAGGTGATTCATCACAATAACGCATATGTCACTAAGAAGAATTTGATGTTGATATTTGGACGTATCTCGTCTCTGGGACTAAAGGATGGTGTGAGAGTGTACCTATACTTTAGTCATAAAATTTGAAATGTATCTACATTTTATCTAGGACTAGGACTTCCAACTTACTGAGACTAATATGCGATACAAATGTTTGAATTAACGAACTGAATACACCAACTTTTTATTAAATTAACGTCTTTTGATTGAGGTTTTGTCTTGTCAAAAATCGCTTTTATATCTTCAGATAGAAAAAAACTAATATTTCACACGCCCTAATGTACTATACTATAATGATGAGAAAATAATAATTATTTACCACAGCTAGGCATAAATTAATTTAATGAATGATCTAATCGTTCAGTGAAGCCACAAAGGTTGTTCCTCTTACCTAATTACACTGTAGATTATTTAACACGGCGAATTAACATGTTTTATTATCTTTGTACCGCTTTTTGCAAAGTGAAAGTGACAGTATACTATGTCCTAGTCGTACACATTATTTTAAGACCAGTTCTTCAGACAGAAGTATCAAGTAAAATAACCACATTTAGGTACAATGTGTTAGTTATGTTTTTTTAATATAAAAACTGAAGAAATACTTATTAAGATATCAATTCAGATTTGATGAACTTAAATTTTAGCTATTAGGTATAGCTAAAAGTTTCAATTCAATGTATATTGATCAATCATATTATTTAGTTACCTTCATCGTAATAACTGGCTTATTTCAATAACTGCTTATTATTATACCATTTATACAAAAAACCCGCATTAAAAAAATTCACCCTACCTACTTATAACTAGGTTTCCATATATCATCCGAAACAACTGCTTTTTCGCAATCGTCAAAGACGTGTATTATCCATCCAACAATAATTGCACTTTATGGTTCAAGAGTATGGGGGACAATTTTATAATATTATGGGGGGCCCCCATATAGGCTTTAGAAGGAGTAAAATGTTTCGCAACATTTGCTTATTACGATCAATCGCGTTATTATTGGCTTTTATTTAGTCTCAGGCGTTTCCGACGAAAAGTGCAACTTATCGAAATGTTGGGTGTGTGGAAAATTGCCATATTTGTCTTTGTTTTGTGTGGATTTGAAGCTCAAGCTGAGGTAAAGGTACTTTATCTGTTCTTCTATTTGTTATTTTTGTTTTACTATGTATTAATGCTTTCGCAGAAATTAAACAACAAATGTCAAATTCCTCCAACTGCTCCGAAACGAATCGAAGAAGTCATCAACAGTTGCCAAGATGAAATAAAGATTGCAATTTTATCAGGTAAGATTGATGATGGATTTCATTTTCATATTATTCCAAACATTCCTATGTCACCACAAGAGTTTTCACTGTTGTCAAAAGAACCAGCGTGAAGCCTCTACCTACTCACTATGCTCTTTTTTAGACGTTAGGTAATTGATCGTGGAAATGTCTCATCTTTAAATTCATAGAAGCCAACTTTTTCATTTTTATAGTTTATCTACTTTTATATAAATAACATCTACTCAGGTTTTACTTTACTACTTAAATGTTTCTCTTTTTTTAGAAGATTGTGCCCTTCTCTTTGAATTCTCAATTCCCAAGATAAAAATCTTTCTGTTGCTGTTCTTGAATAGAAACCTGTGTTTGTCTCTCTTTTTTTAATGGGTCATTCTTATCAAATTTTACAAGAAGAGTTTTGTTCTTCCGCATTTCGTGAAATATCTACCAACTGTAGTCTTGGATTTCTCAACTTTCACGATCCTGCCTCTTAACTTTTTTAAATTCTTCTGCTTGCAATTATCGAAATTTTTGAAGTATTTCCATTTTTAATCGACCAACTACTGGGATATAATTCCTATTTTTAATCTTGCAACTACAGTTCAAAAGACGTTCAAAGTCTTTGTAAATGGCTTCGGTCTGTGAGTTTCTGTAAAAAATTAGGATGTAGGACTTCCAAAGTTTGTCTGGCTTTTATTATTATTTAAACTTCGTATTATGTATTCATATTCGAATTTTACAAGAAATTAATGGATGGTTTCGATCTTTTGTGAAAGGCCTATGAAGTTTTTTTTGTCCTTGACTTTCCAACTTGTGTTAGGTACCTTCAGATTTACAATTACTTGAAAGACTTTGATCATTTAGGTCTTGTAGGAAACCTTGAAAGTTTTTCCGCTTTGATTTTAGAAATTATCAGATATTGGGTGGTATGAATTAAGACGAAGTACTTGCCACTACTACAAGTACCTACCTATTAGTATATTCTATGCAGTATTTACTTCGAAAAGAAGAATTTACTAGCTTCCGGTAGTTTCGGAATATATAATCACAGATCACCTAATACAAATGCGTAAGTACGTATACCTACTTGCCGTCGACGATATTCTGTGACGAAGCCGGGCTGCCAGCAACCCCACGCATAGATAAAGATCGCCCGCATCAGGACAATTAACGTGGCCGAGTGCGTGAGCATGTTCCAGCCTGTGTGTTTACAAATTTTTGCGGGTAGAAAAAAATATTTTTTTGCTGTTTGTGAATCAATTAAAAAAATAATATTATATTATTGAGCTTCCGCATTTATATAATAAATATGTTCAAAATACATTGATGTGGCATTGGTGCGGCCAGCCTATGTCTATCAAATTAATCTTGAACCACGAATTCGCCGCTCTTTCGCATCTGTATGTAGGTAATCTGTGATATAGTATCTACTTCGTTTTAAAGTAAATACTACTGAGAATATATACTAATTGTAGTAGTAGCAGAGTAGTACCACCACTACCACCCATTATATAATTCTGTTTTTTGTCCTTTTTTTTTTGAAAATAATTTTTTTGAATCTTGTTGCATAAATTGTGTTAATGTTTTTAGGTTTTGTTCTTTGATCTTCCATAAATAGCTTCATCTTGTAACTCTTCAAACACTTCTTTCGAAGTCCTTGTATCTTTAGATTCTCAACTTCTAACTGTGGTTTGATTTCGCAACTTTCCCTAGAGTGAACACAGCTACATAAAGTTAACGTAGAAATTAACGTAGCTAGAAGTTTTTGAAAATAAAATGTTTTTTTTACTACTAACCTGCGAAGTAGTCATTATTCAATCTATTTTTCTAGGAAAAAATTGAATTTCTCTCCCTAAGTTAATGATGAGAATAATGAAAAAAAACCTAGGTCAATAATGAAAATGTCGTCATGACGCAAGGATATTGTCATGACGTACCTACCAGTTTTCTATTGGTTTAATTTCAATTGCAAACTGTTAATTTTAAAAAATAACAGGTTCCTGTATGTACCTACAGTGTGGTCATTTTATCTTGATAACATTTCAAACTGTCATAATTTCTTTATTTTTGAAGTTATTTTAATAAATAAAAAACATATTGTAGGGTTGGTTTCCAAGTTTTAGATAGGGTGGACAAAAAACAAAAGACTAATATATTTTAACAGTTATGCACACAAATAGCATTTTTTTGAATGGAACACCCAGTAAATTTTTGAATTGTTTGATAATATGTTTCATTCTGATTGCAATATACAGTGTGATTATTTAAGTGTGCAACATATGGGGATTTTTTTTAGTAATAGCTCAACCCAAATATAAACAAAGCCAAAAGTTGGTGCATGTCTGATAATCATATAAGAGGCGATTTTCAGCCTGGAATGATTATTTATCGGTAAATACCGTGGTTATTCTTTTGGTTGACAACTTTGACAGCCAAGTGTGACGTCATAGCCCCCCACCATTCAAGAATCATAACCCAAGAAACTGACCGCTGAAATGTTTTGGTTATAGCAGTGTAGAATTATGTTCATTATTCTTATTTGTTTTTTCGTTTCAACAATAGTTTTTTGTTGAGGTACAAAAAATGGAGCTGAATCTCTCGCTAGTCTCGTTTATCGAACAGATTTTCTTTGGGGATGATCTAAACCTCGATCTAAACATGGTGAATTGCAGTGAGCGAGTGAATGTATACTTCTTTCATTGTGCCAGGCTACAACGCAACTGCAAAATCACAAAGCACCAATACAAATTCTAAAAATAATAACAATAACATCAAAAAGCTGTAACCAAAAGATTAACCTAAGTCCAAAGCTGGGTTATAATCGGTTATAAGTGGTAAATACCAAAAGCAAATCAACTGATATGTGACGTCACAACTTCCCCTACTTTGGTTAAAACCGCGACGGCGGAAATGCATTGGTTATAAACAAATAATAATCATTCCAGGCTGAAAATCGCCTTAGGTGCACTTAGAATGGTTGCAAATCAAACAGCATACAGGGTAGCTCAAACAATATCAAAATTGTACTGTAAAGTACCCTTATTTTAGAAAATTCAGCAAAATGTTATAGAGAAAAGTTGTTTGGAATTAAAAGTTATGCCTAAATACCAAAACATATCATCCTAAGATTTTTTTGTAGGTAGTCAATATTTTCAGTTAGAAATAAATAAAAACATTTCTGCAAGTAAATTGTATTCAATTGTATTGTATTGTATTGTATATGTATATTGCAATCAGAATGAAACATATTATCAAACTAAAAATTTACTGGGTGTTTTTTTTTTTTTTTAATTGCAATTCGTGCCCATAACTGTCAAAATATATGAGTCTTGTTTTTTGTCCACCCTATCTGAAACTTGGAAGCCAACCCTACAGTTTTGTTTTTTTATTTATTTAAATTACTTTAAAAATAAAGAAATTATGACGGTTTAAATGTTATCAAGATAAAATGATCACACTGTACATCATAGGAAATTACCATAATCTGTTGATAGAGGGCAGCACTTTTGACAAGAAAAAATAATTTGAGCTCAGATTTCAAACCTATTTTTTATTTTCTACTAACAATAGTAAAAAAAATTCTATACATTCCTCGGTAGAGAAAGTCATTATAAAAGCGCTCGGTACATAATGACCAACTTCTTTACCTAGGTATATAATATACTATTTTTGAATTGTATTTCTTAATTTTTAAGATAAATAACTGATCATACAGACCGTACTTATATCTTTTGTTCTTTTTCAAAAATTGCCACAATCCTTACGATAAATCGACGGGTTGATTTTTTTTTGGTTAGTTTATATTTATAGGAAGAAGACATTGACATATTGAATTGCTCAAGTAGATGTAAAATTTATGTCACATCAATGTAACCCATATTATGTGATAAATTTTTGCATTTTTCGCACTGAAAAAGCTGGATCATCCGACATTGCCTCATATAATAGCTCAAAGCTCAAATAAAATTTAATACTTTATTCAAAATAATTTTCGAGTTGTTGAGCCTCCAAGTTGAAGCTTTGTGTAAAATTTTGGAAAACCCATAAAGCCATGCAATCATCTCGAAAATGAAGCTCTAGGGCTCGAAGCCCCAAATAACCTTTTTTGAAGCACCAATTGAGATCTACAATTGGACGATTTCGTACCGATAGCATTGCTGGTTTCCTGGCTAAGTAAATTTTACACAGATATTATTAGTATCTACATAAGATTTACGTTAATCTAAACCTACTTAAGTATATGTAATATAAACGATAATATAGTTATTATCCATTAAACTAAATGTTATATAAATGTGACTTTAATTTACGTGAATCTCAGATAATTTAATTTATATCCTCGCATTTCTATTCGCTTTCCACATAACAACTAAATACGAAAAAATGTGACTCACAACAGAAAAAATGGTTGGTAAAATTTGACTTTGATTCCAGATTCACATCAGATTCAAAATTAACAAATTTTATAAAGCTTTAGTTCAAAAAACTACAATTTTTTGAACTCATATACATAGGGGTTATGAAACTTTTGGAATGTGAATATTATTAATTATTGAGTTTAATTCCAAATTTCATATAAATTGTACACAGTGTTGCCAATGACCCGATAATTATCGAATTCTACCATAATTTTGACTACGATTCAATATTCGATAATGACAAGATAATCTACCATATTTTATTGAAACTACAATTTTAATATAGATTTTTCAAATTTCTACATAGTTAAAAATTATTTGAAAATCAAATTCCCATGCATACCCCTTTGGAAAAATTCGAATTTTTAAATTTTTGGATTTTGCAATGTTTGACTTTACTAATCAAAAGAGGAGATCAAAATTAGTGAAAAAGCATTTCTGCAACTTTGTTTTTAGAGTTTTAAAGCCTTGTAAAAAAATAAAAACGGTTTTTGCAATTTTTGGGCTCAAAAAAGTTCAATAATCTGACATTCTTTCACTGCTGTTGCTGATTACTCGGTTATTATTGTAACAAATACAATATAAAATTATATTTTCTGAATCAGAATTAAATTATCTTCAAGATAAAATAAGATCCAATTCTATATCTTAAATACTTCTGAAAATATTGAGGCTCAAAGTTGAAACTTTATCTCAAATTTTGCAAAAGCGGATTATCTTGAAAACGAAGCCCTTGAGCTCGGAGTCTTAAATAACCTTTTTTGTAGCCCTTATCAAAAGCTACAATTGGACAAAAGATTCATGCCAATAACTTCACTGGTTTCCATAATATGGCCCTTTGAAATATTTGGAAATCAAATTTCCATGCTACATACATAATACCACTTTGGAAAAGTTCGAATTTTTAAATTTTCAGTTTTTAGAATTTTTGACTTCACCAATCGAAAGAACAAGTTAAAATTAGTAGAAAAGCATTTTCGTAACTTTCCTTTTTGGGTTTCAAAGCCTTGTTAAAAAATAAAAACGATTTTTGCAATTTTTGGGCTCAAAAAAGTTCAATAATCTGATATTCTTTCACTGCTGTTGCTGATTACTCGGTTATTATTGTAACAAATACAATGTAAAATTATATTTTCTGAATCAGAATTAAATTATCTTCAAGATAAAATAAGATCCAATTCTATATCTTAATTACTTCTGAAGATATTGAGGCTCAAAGTTGAAACTTTATCTCAAATTTTGCAAAAGCTTTCAGGCGGATTATCTTGAAAACGAAGCCCTTGAGCTCGGAGTCTTAAATAACCTTTTTTTGTAGCCCTTATCAAGAGCTACAATTGGGCAAAAGATTCATGCCAATAACTTCACTGGTTTCCAAATATGGCCCTTTGAAATATTTGGAAATCAAATTTCCATGCTACATACATACCCCTTTGGAAAAGTTCGAATTTTTAAATTTTCAGTTTTTCGAATTTTTGACTTCACCAATCGAAAGAACAGGTTAAAATTAGTAGAAAAGCATTTTCGTAACTTTCCTTTTTGGGTTTTAAAGCCTTGTTAAAAAATAAAAACGATTTTTGCAATTTTTGGGCTCAAAAAAGTTCAATAATCTTATATTCTTTCACTGCTGTTGCTGATTACTCGGTTATTATTGTAACAAATACAATGTAAAATTATATTTTCTGAATCAGAATTAAATTATCTTCAAGATAAAATAAGATCCAATTCTATATCTTAATTACTTCTGAAGATATTGAGGCTCAAAGTTGAAACTTTATCTCAAATTTTGCAAAAGCTTTCAGGCGGATTATCTTGAAAACGAAGCTCTTGAGCTCGGAGTCTTAAATAACCTTTTTTGTAGCCCTTATCAAAAGCTACAATTGAGCAAAAGATTCATGCCAATAATTTCACTGGTTTCCAAAATATGGCCCTTTGAAATATTTGGAAATCAAATTTCCATGCTACATACATACCCCTTTGGAAAAGTTCGAATTTTTAAATTTTCAGCTTTTCGAATTTTTGACTTCACCAATCTAAAGAACAAGTTAAAATTAGTAGAAAAGCATTTTCGTAACTTTCCTTTTCGGGTTTCAAAGCCTTGTTAAAAAATAAAAACGATTTTTGCAATTTTTGAGCTCAAAAAAGTTCAATAATCTTATATTCTTTCACTGCTGTTGCTGATTACTCGGTTATTATTGTAACAAATACAATGTAAAATTATATTTTCTGAATCAGAATTAAATTATCTTCAAGATAAAATAAGATCCAATTCTATATCTTGATTACTTCTGAAGATATTGAGGCTCAAAGTTGAAACTTTATCTCAAATTTTGCAAAAGCTTTCAGGCGGATTATCTTGAAAACGAAGCTCTTGAGCTCGGAGTCTTAAATAACCTTTTTTGTAGCCTTTATTAAGAGCTACAATTGGGCAAAAGATTCATGCCAATAACTTCACTGGTTTCCAAATATGGCCCTTTGAAATATTTGGAAATCAAATTTCCATGCTACATACATACCCCTTTGGAAAAGTTCGAATTTTTAAATTTTCAGTTTTTCGAATTTTTGACTTCACCAATCGAAAGAACAAGTTAAAATTAGTAGAAAAGCATTTTCGTAACTTTCCTTTTTGGGTTTTAAAGCCTTGTTAAAAAATAAAAACGATTTTTGCAATTTTTGGGCTCAAAAAAGTTCAATAATCTGATATTCTTTCACTGCTGTTGCTGATTACTCGGTTATTATTGTAACAAATACAATGTAAAATTATATTTTCTGAATCAGAATTAAATTATCTTCAAGATAAAATAAGATCCAATTCTATATCTTGATTACTTCTGAAGATATTGAGGCTCAAAGTTGAAACTTTATCTCAAATTTTGGAAAAGCTTTCAGGCGGATTATCTTGAAAACGAAGCTCTTGAGCTCGGAGTCTTAAATAACCTTTTTTGTAGCCCTTATCAAAAGCTACAATTGAGCAAAAGATTCATGCCAATAACTTCACTGGTTTCCAAATATGGCCCTTTGAAATATTTGGAAATCAAATTTCCATGCTACATACATACCCCTTTGGAAAAGTTCGAATTTTTAAATTTTCAGTTTTTCGAATTTTTGACTTCACCAATCGAAAGAACAAGTTAAAATTAGTAGAAAATCATTTTCGTAACTTTCCTTTTTGGGTTTTAAAGCCTTGTTAAAAAATAAAAACGATTTTTGCAATTTTTGGGCTCAAAAAAGTTCAATAATCTTATATTCTTTCACTGCTGTTGCTGATTACTCGGTTATTATTGTAACAAATACAATGTAAAATTATATTTTCTGAATCAGAATTAAATTATCTTCAAGATAAAATAAGATCCAATTCTATATCTTAATTACTTCTGAAGATATTGAGGCTCAAAGTTGAAACTTTATCTCAAATTTTGCAAAAGCTTCCAGGCCGATTATCTTGAAAACGAAGCCCTTGAGCTCGGAGTCTTAAATAACCTTTTTTGTAGCCCTTATCAAAAGCTACAATTGAGCAAAAGATTCATGCCAATAACTTCACTAGTTTGCAAAATATGGCCCTTTGAAATATTTGGAAATCAAATTTCCATGTAGCATGGAAATTTCGTTCTCAAATCCTGATAATTTTAAACTTGACATCTGACAAAACTGTGAACACCATGTATTTAGTTATGTAAACGCTATATTTGATATTTTAGGTAAACATTGCATAAATTGTTACAAATATTTAGTTTATCTACATAGTATTCACATAAACTTGACATAAAATAAAAATTCTGGTAAAAAAATGATCTCAAATATATAATTAACTTTACGTAAGTATCACAGATATGTTTACTGGGCGTAAGAGATTATTCAGGTCTTTGTATTCTATCTTTAATCAGCTAACTTCTCAGATAGAATTTCTACAACTGCCCAGTAAAATCGTGTTCAAAGTCTTTGTGAATCAAGAAATGGTCTGCGAGTTTCTGAGATCAATTATTTTTGATTTTTGATTTTTGATCTTGCAACGTGCAACTTTCGTAAAAATTCTTCAAGGCTTAGTTGTCTTCGATCTTTTGAATAAATACATCATATGATCAATTGCCTGTAAGTAGTTAAAATTGGTCAGTATTCACCTGAAAAAAATACTGTATGTCGTAATCAGTAGGTAAAATAATTTGTGAGATACCTATTCTCTCTAAAACTATCTATTATAGAACCTCTTTAACTACAAGTTTAACTAGTCACAAAACTAAATTATACATTACAACTCACTATTACAATCGACTCGCGTTCCACTTTTAATCTGATTAATAATTTATTCGCGTTTAGTTTGTTAATGTTTCAAACCCTAGCGTTCAATTTATCACTGATTTTTTATCTCGGTGGCCGACTCCGTTCTATATCGCGTCGCTGCCTCTAGCCAGAACCTCCACTCGTGAATTTTGTAGTCATCCACGCATATTGCAAGATTATTGCACGATTTCCCGAGTTTGTGAGATTTATAACAATAATAAAACTGATTTTCATTAATTGGTTTACCATGCCTTGTAAGAAGCAACAAATTCACCCCTTTAAAATATTAATTTTTATTTTTATTGTACTCATTATTTGTTTATTTTGTTTTAATTTTAGAAGCTCTAGAGGCCTTTAATGTCAACGAACACAAACTTAGCAGAGAAAAAAGGTCGGCGTTCAATGAAGATGAGAAGAAAATTGCAGGCGTAAGTGTTTCCCAGTCACATAATTACTTAATTGCATCGTTTAATATTACCAAATATACCTACTTAATTATAATTGTTTTAGGCCAGATAAATAATTTAAAAAAATTTGCATTAAAATGACCGTGAACTGTGTAGCTACCAGCCAGCATTGGTGCAATGAAGAAAGTGTGTCAGATGGAATAATAATTTATTGTAATAAAACCTGTAATTTGAGAGAACGCACCTTAATTGATGGCATTATGTATTCGGTGTAACCATCGGTATTTTTCCAATTTTGCACAAAAAAAAAATTACATAAAACCCATAGGATATGTTATAGAAAGTGTATCACTTAAGTACCTACTTACGTCTATAACTGCTTTGCCCGGTCATTTGTGAAATTCGTTTAGAAACCCATAAATAAGAAACAATTTACATACGATAATTTGGTCAATTTCTGTTTCAGTGTTTGCTGCAATGCGTTTATAGGAAAATGAACGCAGTAAGTACACTCTTTCATTCTAGTACCAAAACAGATAAGGTCTATAATTGGCGGCATAGTAGATTTCAATAGGTTTTCATTTGTATAAAACATGCCTTCAACTGCTAGATTTTTCAGTTTTTTTACAAAAATAATTGTCTTGACTTATATCTAGGTAAATGAATATGGATTTCCCACAGTAGATGGACTAGTATCTTTGTACACTGAAGGTATAACCCAAAAGGAATACGTCTTAGCTACACTCCAAGGGGTCACTAAATGTTTGAGCAAAGCTCAGAAAGCGCATTTGATTACCCCACTAGCTGTGAAAGGTATTTATGCGTATTTTGTCAGGACAATATTTGAAATCTTGATTTTATTACAGCCTCGAAATCCTGTGATGTTGCTTATGACGTATTCGAATGTGTCTCTGGAGAAGTAGCAAAATATTGCGGACAATCGCCCTAAATAATTCAATGTTATAATTATTGTACATTTTTTTTATACATATATTTTCACTGTAAATTTATTTATTGTTATTTTAAAATTGAGGTTTTAGCTTTGCTGCACTCTGTCACTTTTAAAATTATAGGCGCACTTTGTATAATTGCTTGATGCATAGTTTTTTCTAGTCAAAAATTGTATTTTTTTTATAGATGTGTGTTATTTTTTATTTTAATTAAATTTTTGTTAAATTTATTTGTTTTATTTTCTAATTTGCATCCTTTAGGAAATTATTTGGAGAGTTTTAAAATGAAAGATTTTTTTTTCTTTCCTTCCCACTCTTTAATTTATGTTAGTGAGCCTTTAGTAGCCAGACCTTTCACCTTTGAATCATATTATATATGAATATGAATATGTTTTTAAGTCAAGAAACTACTTAATTAAGTATTGAAAGGTTGAAGTTACCAATACCAAAACAATGCCAGGAGAGTAAGTAATTCGAAGATTATTTAATCGAGCTAAAGAAACTGGAGAATGGGAAAATATCTAGAGAGTGGCAAAAAAGTCGCACATAATACCTGTAACTTTTTAATAACTTTGTATACGAGAAAGTGACCTAAATGAGAGTTGCTCAGTAAATTTTTTCCCAAATTTCTACCTAGACGAATTGTTTCTGTCACTTCTCGTTTGTTTGCTATCCAGACCAATTTTATTTTTTCAACTAAGAATTGATACGACTTTGCTAAATTTGGCTTTTAAGAATGCGCGCGTTAAACAACTGAAAAAGGATAGCTGCAAAGTCCTTACACTGCCGGCGAAAAGCAAGTCGCCAAAGACACTTCGACCGATTAGTGTGATTCGATAAAATAGACCGTTTCTTTTCGCTTGCCGTGACCGGTTTCAATGAAGACGGTTTCGTTTGTAATTCTTCCCATTGGACTTGAACTTCCTGAAAGAGTTGGCCAGCTAGGTGGAGTTTTGAAGTAAGGTGAAAAAATATCCTTTTCAGTTCCGATATTCTTCAATTTCAATTTAAAATCTTTCATCGATTATTATTCTATCAGCAACCTGTGGATTTTCCAGTTTTAATTTCGCATATTAATTTGGTCATTGGGTCAATCACTGTATGTGATTGCATATTTAGAATCTACGTTAAATTCTGTGCAAATTTCATGTGATATACCCTATACCTACCTAAGGAAATATTGACAGTTGGAAATTGACGTTTTTGCAACTTTGACAGGTTGTTAAACCGGTAAAACCTAAACGGTTAATTTTGAGTAAAACCGATCTCACATTCTTATCTCAGATTTTCATAAACTATCATTTGACACTAACTTTGAATTTACTCGGAGATTATATTTAGCTGAAATTTTTGATCATGGATTAAATTCAAAGTTGGTATCAAATGTTTATGAAAATCTTAGACAAAAATGTAAGATCGATTTTCCTCTGAAATTAACCGTTTAGGTTTTACAGCCTGTCAAAGTTGCAAAAAAGTCAATTTTCAACTTTCAATATTTCCAAAACAGTTGAACTTTGGTATACCTAGGGTATATCACATGAAATCTGCCCAGAATTTCATGTAGAATCTAAATTTGCAATCACCAGGGTGTTTCATTTGAGAAAACAAAGTTGGTCTGGATAGCAAACAAACCAGAAGTGACAGAAACAAATCGTCTAGATAGAAATGTGGGAAATAATTTACTGAGCAACTTTCATTGGGGTCACTTTTTCGTATACGAGGTAATTAAAAAGTTACAGGTATTATGCGCGACTTATTTGCCACTCTGTATAATAAACCCATTAGAAAAGCAAAAACAGATTCTTGGAAGAAGTTCTGTGAAAGTGTGTCAGATGCACCAAGCAGTGCTAGAATCCACAAGATTCTGTCCAGAGAACTAGTGCGGGACCTGGAATTCATAAAACGACAGCACCTTCACTACCTCTAGGAAAGAAACACTAAAGGTGTTGGGAAAGAACCAAGCAGCCAAATAATTGACAACTCATTAATATCTCCCCTAGCAGGACGAGTCAAACAAAACAAAGGAGTGACAAAATCGTTCAAGCCTCACAAATCGCCAGTGATGGATGGTATATGTCCGGCTCTACTCCAAAAAGGACTGGATAATTTACTATTTTTATGAATTAGGCTATTCAGATCAAACCTAGCTTGGTGTCACATACCAACTAACTGGCCTAGGGTAGTATATATACCCAAGACAGGTAGAACCTACTATCAACCTAAATCATTCAGATCAATAAGTCTTACATCATTCCTTCCGAAAAGTCTGCATAAAGTCCTGGCCGCTCACATCAGAGAAGGGCCATTAGGGCTGCCTGCAGAAAGGATTTCTCTCTCCTCTTCTGTGATTTCACTTGGTGGACAACCTCTTGGTCATAATCCAACTGTGGGAGATCGACCTGCAGGCTTATGCGGACGACAACCCATTGTAATGAGGAGAAAATATAATAAACACAATACTTGCATGGTGCGACAGTGAGGATATGACAATAGATCCTCACAAAATAACTGTAGTGCCCTTTAGAAAGAAAAGGTAGCTTGACCATCTGATACCCCTTAACCTACGAGGGGCGTTGGTGGTACCCTTTAGCAAAGTCAAATATCTAGGAATTACTCTAGATAAAATGCTTACCTGAAACTTCCATCTGGAAAAAATAAAACAGAAAGCTACCTACTCAGTACTCACTATGGAACTGCCGCAGGATATCTAGCAAATCATGGGGAATTGAGCCCAAGCAAACATACTGGTTATATATCATGTTCGTTAGACCCATGATAACATATGGCTCAATAGTCTGGTGGGTAAACAACAACCTACAGAATATACCTCACGAACAGATATAAAGTAAATGACAAAGGGAAAATCTTGGGAAAATTGAAGGCACCAAACTGCTAAAGTAACAAAACACATAGCGGTTTGGGAATGCCTACGGATCTTATATACTGAAAACGCACACAACAAGCACCCTACCCTACACACTGACTTTCCCAAGAAGGCTAGAGTGGGTTTAGAATGAACATAATGCTTCAAAGATACAACTACTTCGAAACAGTTATTGAAAAGTTAGGGGATGGAGTCGGAAGATCAAAGAACAAAAACTGAAAAGATTTATATAAAGGTTGCAAGATTCAAAAAACAGAATATATAATTACGTATATTAATCTGATAGCTTGAATGATCCACCTGATACAAAAGTTAAAGTATCTATATCTATTGTCAATTGTCAGAAGCATTGAGAAGAGTTGTAGTATCAAGTTCGAAAATAAACCGCAAAAAGTTTTAAAAGGGTGGTTTAAAAGTTGAGGACAAAAAACAGAATAATATAAGTACTTAAAAAACAGAATAATATACTTATTATTTGATGTTCAAAAAACCAGGTTCCTTGTCTTTTTGGAAAGGACCCCGCACAAACCTTACGGAAAATGGCTATCTGTCAAATTCGCTGAATTTTTTAAATTGGGTAAATTTCGATATTCTGATTAAAAGTTACCATTTCTCAAAAATGATTCCATGTACAGTTTTTGAGTAGATGGGCTCAAAAGATGGTATTTTAGGAAACGCGTGTAGCCTAAAAGGTGGATGCTCAACGCTATCAATCGATACTGAAATAGCCAAACTGTGGAAAAGCGATGTTGAAGTCTAGGATCAGTAGTTCATATTTCAGCCGAGATACATTATTTCTTGTTTACCCAGTTTGGCTATTCTAGTATCGATTGATAGCGTTGAGCATCTACCTATTAAGCCACATGCGTTTCCATTTTCTTTCAAGCACATTTACTCAAAAACTGTACACATCATTTTTGTCAATGATAACTTTTAGTCAGAATATCGAAATCTACCCAATTTCAAAAATTCAGCCAATATGACAGAAAGCCATTTTCCATAAGATTTGTGAGGAGTCCTTTGTAAATCTGCAGGTACTCAACAAAAGTAGGAAAATCAATTACAAAAAACCTTTCAAAGGCCTTTCACAAAAGATCGGAGCCATAAAATTCTTGTGTTATTAGAATATTAATCTTTAATACAAAGGTTTAATCATAATAAAAGTCAAATTATGATTTAGGATTTCCAAAGTCTGGGAAGTCCTAAATCATAATTTTTTACAGAAGCTCATAGACCAAAGCCATTGGAAAAGTAGCTTTGAGCCCTTGAACGTCCAGGCACTTCAAACTACATCTTTTGCTGTGCAATGCTTGTGTCATTAAATCAACCCTATAAGGTTAATAGTACTCAAACACCCGATTACACAAGATAATGCAGCTGGCACGCGAATCATCGGAAAAGCTCTCCGAGCTTTGGAATTCTAATTTAATATCGATAGTTCTGCTTTTGAGAGCAGATCTTCATACTAGTTGGTTTCGAGCAGTCTGTAATGACCCTCAAAAATAAACCTGTAGATTACAATGTCTTTACTGTAAAAATTAAATGTAATCAAATAATCAAAAACTGAATTTCCGGTATTTTAAATCAGTATCGATATATTGAAAATGAAACAAAATAGCGTTGACCCAAAATAAATTGAAATATTTATATACGTTAAAATTTTATTATTTAGTCACCAAGCATGATGTCATCTCCTAAATCAAATCAATGAACTTATTAAAAGCGAGGCCAAAGTAATTAAATAGGTGATTTATGGCTCCCACGTGTTTGTCGGTTTTATTTGTGTTGTCCTCACATTCTTAAACCAAATCTGTTGACCCCGATAAACCAGGAAATTGCGACATAATTATTCGATTTTAAACAAATAAAAGAGGAAGGTTATTGAATGATGAAATTTAGAATTTTTGGGGGAACGAAACATATAAATACAGCGGATTTAGTAGTGGAGGGCAGTTAGCAGTTATCAGTTGTTAGTTGAGTTGTTAGTTCAGTCCAGTTTTGAGTTTAAAGTCTACAGTCCAGCAATTTTGCGAAGAGTTTAAAGGGGGAATTTATAATGCACTTAACAAGTATCGATTTTGAGTAGGAATTTTGAATTGGTTTGTCCAATTGAAGTTTAAGGGCTATAGTAACGAACTAATAAGAATTTAAATAATTGTGTTTGTTGGCTAGGAATCCGAAAATAGTAATTGTTCTGATTAAATTGATAAAAAGTTTTGTTTGAAAATTGTTGTTCATGTTGTAACATTGATGGACCTTAGTGCTGAAATTTTGAATTATGGTTTTAATCATTTAGAAATTATTGTAAGATTTTATAAAAATATAGTTGGTAATGCATATATACTTAATCCAGTGAGTCGGATTATGACTTAAATAATTATTTTGCATAAGCTGTCAGTAAATGACTTAGGGATTTTAAGATTTTATAGATATAGGTGAAGGGTAGTTTTAATAGGAATGTGAATGAGAAATGTTGTTTGGAAGAGTAATGTATAAACTTATAAATTATTAAGAATAGTAGAAGTAGGGCGTTTTTTTTTGTATGGATATTTCCTGGTCCGTAATAATGACATTTGAACGGATGTGAAATAATTTGAATTGGGAAAAATAGAAGTGGCTGTCAGAATAGAAAGATATTTGCTTATTTTAATTTTGGTTTTAAGTATAATAAAATATAATTAAGTAAACCTCAATAGTTTGTTTCTCTCTTTTGCGAATAGACCCCTCCACAATTTTATAGGTAGCAGCTCAAGGAAATAAACACCATCAATATACCGCTCGCCATTTACCATCTAACTAATTAAATAGAGTACTTGAGTGCGTTTTGCTACAAGTCTATCACAAATAATAGCCTGGTTGCAAAATTTGAAAGGTCCAATAACAGTTCACTATTAGTTTAACCCAAATACGCTTTTCGAAATTTGGTATACATCCGGTAGGCTTCTGCAAACTGTTCAGCATCGAAATTAGGGTTCAGGGACCTCGGAGTCGGGATATAGTTGAACATCTGTTATGTCCAAATTATTGAAAAGAATAATATCATTATATCTAAAATTATCCTTTCGCTTCTGCAAAAATACTATGATATACAGGGTGTCCCCGTTTAACTGGTCAAAAATGCTAGAGTATATAGGGGAACCATAGAGAAGTAGTTTGAGATAGAACACCGATGGTCGGTTTCATTACCCTGTATTTTGGAAAGGACACACTTCCGACCAACAGTGTCCTATCTCAAATTACTTCTCTATCGTGAAAACCAATGAATAACCGTCGCGAGGACAAGTGAAGACGTTTTAGAGAATTAATTGAACATTGTATACAAAACTACTTTTGTGAACTTAACTTGTGAACTTAAATTGTGAACTTTTGATATTTAAACTATAATTTAACCACTGACTATTAGTAATATGCATTTACTGCCCGATAGATTTTTTTGCTAGAAATTCGTGAAAACGTATGAATAAGAGTTTAATAGTAAAGAAGCGATTGAGAATGAATAAAGGATTTGATGAAATTTTTTTAAAATGTAAGTTACTATTTCGAGAGATAAGTTTTAAGTCATGAAGTAAAGAATGTTGTTCACCTCATTAAATAAATAAAAATATTTTAACCATTATAATTGCAGAAGATTTGTGTACTTATTTCTACCCTAAGCAATTACGAACCCTACCACTGTAGCCACCCTAGTAAAAATCTGTAGCAAATTGAAAACCGCTTGCCAACAATCAACATCTTAAACAGTGATACTATGATCAACGCAACATTAAAAACACAGGAAGATTGAAGCTAGAAAGACTTCGTTTTGTGAAATGTAATATTTGTCGATTAAGAAAGTTGACTCAACGAAGACAAACATCCTAGAAGTTTTTTATTCACGCAACGTTGCAAATTTTTGGGGAAAATGTAGGTCAACATAATATCATAACAGGAGAAAATGGAATATAAAAATGCTTGGAATGGTCAGTAATTACTTAGCATTTAAGAAGAGCAATTGTAATAGAAAAACGTAAATCAATAGATACAAAATAGAACAAAGTGAACAAAATGAGGCCTTCCCAATTCACTTTTATTTTTCCCAAGTGTTTCTTTTGAGAGTCAACAAAAATTAGGAAAATTCAGTTTTATTATTTATTCTTGCAATTTTATACCTATTTCCAATAAGATTGAATTCATAAATACATATTTCAAATACGACTTAACTTTTCTCTAGGTTGAAATTCCTTTTCTAAAATACATTAATATATCACAATTAATTTTAAATTTCCCTTACAGTTAAAATTGTCATCAACAAAAATCCTCAAGCATCTTTCCTGGAAGGTCTCTTGTTCTTTTTCTCTTCGTCTTTGGTACCAGCCACAGCAGTAGCTTGAGGACTGGAAACCGCCAAACCGCCTTTACCTACAAGGGCAGTACCTCTGGGTGCCGATCCAGCCACGCCACCTGGACCTGCGATGGCGGTACCTTGAGGTGCAGCTTGCGCCATACTCGATTCGGGTTCCTTTTCTGCTGGCTGAGGTACCAAAGTAGCTAGAAATATGATCGGATTGATTGGTTCAAGGCTTCAAACCCATTAATAATTCCTTACTGCTACTTTCTTCAGCTTTGAAATTTCCACCTCGTCCATCTAAGCTGTTTGGAGAATCGTAAGAAGCATCGACAATTATAGCGTCATTTTCCAAATCATCTCTGAATTGGTAAAGTTCTGGCACGGAATTTGGTGTAAATCTGAACTGGCCGATCAGATGGGGTGGGACTATGCTTGATTTTGGGTTTGGTTGTTCAGCGGCTGGCTCTAAAAAATAGAAATCAGTAGTTGCAAATGATGCAATCAATATAGAGGAATAAACTTCTAAAAGGGACTTTTATGACCACAGCAATAAGTAATTGAATATCTAATCCAAGTTGCTTTACAGAATCAAAAAAATGTTGAAATGGTTTCTGAGTGGAGAAGGAACCAGAAACTTTTATATTCAAACAAGAAAAAGATACCTAATTGGAAAGGAAATGTAACAAATAGATTATAATAATATACCCTGACCTTGTTGGCTTTGAAATTGTCCTTGTTGGTTCTGAATTTGTCCTTGTTGGCTTTGAAACAATTGTCCTTGTTGGCTTGGAATTTGTCCTTGTTGGCCTTGGAATAATTGTCCTTGTTGGTTTTGAAATAATTGTCCTTGTTGGTTTTGAATTTGTCCTTGTTGGTTTTGGAATAATGGTCCTTGTTGGCTCAGAAATTGATTTTGGTATGGACCGGGTTGGCTCAGAAATTGACCTTGTTGATCGACAAAGTACGGTTGGTATTCCTGATTTTGCCCGAAAAGTGAGTTTGGGTTGAAATATTGCTGACCCGCTTTGTCTTCGCTGTCTTTTTGATTATTCGCATACTGCTGAGTATTTTGCTGAGGTAAATTTTGTGGCTGAGAGTTGCGCAAAACTAAATCAGGTAGTGATGTAATCTGAAAATTATTTTTGACTATTTGAGAATTAAAGTTGAAGTGGAGCGGTTCGAATGGCTGTCCTTGGCCTCTCGCACAGCTAAAATTCTCATTCTCAGCTCTAAGAAGCTGAAATTTGCATTAGAAAGTCATAAAAACTTTATTCCCTGCGCTCTGAATGCTAAAAATTGAACTGGAGAAGTGTGTACCTACTGATTTTTAACATTTTAAAAGAGTTCGAATTTTGCTAGAGCGGTTCAAAATCCTCTTGTTTGATCCTCGCAAATCTGAGATTTAATTGGAAAATTGTGAAAATTTCATTCCTGGCTCTAGGAGAGTTGAATTTTGAACAAGAGAATCATACCGAGTGTCAAAAACTGAGGTAGAGAAGTGTAAAAGTGATTCTTGACCAATGAAGAGTTTGAGTTAAGCTAGGGAGGTTTAAAAAGCTCATGTTTGAGCTTCACAGACCTGAAATTCAGTTGAAAAATTGTTGATATCTCATTCCTCAGTCTACTAGAGCTGAGCTTTAAACAAGAAACGCATAAAAATTCTATTTACAGAGTTTCTAATGGCAGAAATTGAACTAGAGAAATTTTTGAACATTAGTTGATGTTGAGCTAGAGCAGTTCAAAAAGCTCATGTTTGAGCTTCACAGAACTGTAATTCAATTGAAAAATTGTTGAAATCTCATTCTTGGATCTACTAGAGCTAAGTTTCAAACAAGAAAAGCTTAAAACTTCTATTACCACAGTTTCTAATGGCAGAAATTGAACTGGAGAAATGTTGAACAGATTTTTGACCATTAGAGCTAATGTTGAGCTAGAGCGGTTCAAAAAGCTGATGTTTGAGCTGCGCAGAGCTGTAATTCAATTGAAAAATTGTTGAAATCTCATTCTTGGATCTACTAGACCTGAGTTTCAACAAGAAAAGCTTAAAAGTTCTATTTCCACAGTTTCTAATGGCAGAAATTGAACTGGAGAAATGTTAAACAGATTTTTGACCATTAGAGTTAATGTTGAGCTAGAGCAGTTCAAAAAGCTCATGTTTGAACTTCACAGAGCTGAAATTCAATTGAAAAATTGTTGAAATTTCATTCTTGGATCTACTAGAGCTGAATTTCAAACAAAAAACGATTAAAAGTTCTATTTTCACAGTTTCTAATGGCAGAAATTGAACTAGAGAAATGTTAAACAGATTTTTGATCCTTAGAGTTATTGTTGAGTTAGAGCGGTTCAAAAAGCTCATGTTTGAGCTTCACAGAGCTGAAATTCGATTGAAAAATTGTTTACATCTCATTCTTGAGTCTACTAGAGCTGAGCTTCAAACAAGTAACGCTTAAAAATTCTATTTCTAGCGTTTCTAATGGCAGATTTTAAACTGGAGAAATGTTTAACAGATTTTTGACTATTAGAGTTAATGTTGAGTTAGAGCGGTTCAAAAAGCTCATGTTTGAGCTTCACAGAGCTGAAATTCGATTGAAAAATTGTTCAAATCTCATTCTTGGATCTACTTAAGCAGAGCTTCGAACAAGAAACGCTTGAAAATTCTATTTCCAGAGTTTCGAATGGCAGAAATTGAACTAGAGAAATATTTAACAGATTTTTGACCATTAGAGTTAATGTTAAGCTAGAGTAGTTTAAGAAGCTCATGTTTGAGCTTCACAGAGCCTAAATTCGATTGAAAAATTGTTAAAATCTCATTCTTGAGTCTACTAGAGCTGAGCTTCAAACAAGTAACGCTTAAAAATTCTATTTCTAGCGTTTCTAATGGCAGATTTTTAACTGGAGAAATGTTAAACAGATTTTTGACCATTAGAGTTAATGTTGAGTTAGAGCGGTTCAAAAAGCTCATGTTTGAGCTTCACAGAGCTGAAATTCGATTGAAAAATTGTTCAAATCTCATTCTTGGATCTACTAGAGCTGAGCTTCGAACAAGAAACGCTTGAAAATTCTATTTCCAAAGTTTCTAATGGCAGAAATTGAACTGGAGAAATGTTAAACAGATTTTTGACCATTAGAGCTAATGTTGAGCTAGAGCGGTTCAAAAAGCTCATGTTTGAGCTTCACAGAGCTGAAATTCGATTAAAAAATTGTTGATATCTCATTCTTGGATCTACTAAAGCTGAGCTTCGAACAAGAAACACTTGAAAATTGTATTTCCAGAGTTTCTAATGGCAGAAATTGAACTAGAGAAATGTTGAACAGATTTTTGACCATTAGAGTTAATGTTGAGCTAGAACAGTTCAGAAATCTCATGTCTGAACTTCACAGAGCTGAAATTCAATTGAAAAATTGCTGAAATTTCATTCTTGGATCTACTAGAGCTGAGTTTTGAGCAAGAAACGCATAGAAATTCCATATCCAGCGTTTCTAATGGCAGAAATTGAACTGGAGAAATGTTAAACAGATTTTTGACCATTAGAGTTAATGTTGAGCTAGAGCAGTTCAGAAATCTCATGTCTGAACTTCACAGAGCTGAAATTCAATTGAAAAATTGCTGAAATTTCATTCTTGGATCTACTAGAGCTGAGTTTTGAGCAAGAAACGCATAAAAATTCCATATCCAGGGTTTCTAATAGCAGAAATTGAACTGGAGAAATGTTAAACAGATTTTTGACCATTAGAGTTAATGTTGAGCTAGAGCGGTTCAAAAAGCTCATGTTTGAACTTCGCAGAGCTGAAATTCAGTTGAAAATTTGTTGAAATCTCATTCATGGGTCTACTAGAGTTGAGTGTTAAACAAGAAATGCATAAAAATTCTATTTCTAGCGTTTCTAATGGCAGAACTTGAACTGGAGAAATGTTGAACAGATTTTTGACCATTAGAGTTGATTTTGAGCTAGAGCGGTTCAAAAAGCTGATGTTTCAACTTCGCAGAGTTGAAATTCAGTTGAAAATTTGTTGAATTCTCATTCATGGGTCTACTAGAGTTGAGTGTTAAACAAGAAATGCATAAAAATTCTATTTCTAGCGTTTCTAATGGCAGAACTTGAACTGGAGAAATGTTGAACAGATTTTTGACCATTAGAGTTAATTTTGAGCTAGAGCGGTTCAAAAAGCTGATGTTTGAACTTCGCAGAGTTGAAATTCAGTTGAAAATTTGTTGAAATCTCATTCATGGGTCTACTAGAGTTGAGTGTTAAACAAGAAATGCATAAAAATTCTATTTCTAGCGTTTCTAATGGCAGAACTTGAACTGGAGAAATGTTGAACATATTTTTGACCATTAGAGTTAATTTTGAGCTAGAGCGGTTCAAAAAGCTGATGTTTGAACTTCGCAGAGTTGAAATTCAGTTGAAAATTTGTTGAAATCTCATTCATGGGTCTACTAGAGTTGAGTGTTAAACAAGAAATGCATAAGAATTCTATTTCTAGCGTTTCTAATGGCAGAACTTGAACTGGAGAAATGTTGAACAGATTTTTGACCATTAGAGCTAATGTTAAGCTAGAGAAGTTCAAAAAGCACAGAGCTAAAATTCAGTTGAAAAATTTTCGAAATCTCTTTCTTGGTTCTACTAGAGCTGAACTTTGAACCATTAGAGAGGTTTAAAAAACTCTTAAGCTCAACTACTTACCGATTGTTGTTGATACCGATCATCCTGCAAATACTGAGGAGGTTCCTGGGCAAATCCGCTCGGTGCTGTTTGAGGGTACGATTCCACATTAGTGTATTTGAAATTGGGTTGTACTGCCTCAAAAGGATAATTATTGTACATACTGTCACCGTTAAGAATGAAAAATCGCTGTCCAGGTCTTAGGTTGCCAGTATTCAGTTGAGGATACTGGCCTTCTTGTGGCTTCTGTTCAGGTTGGTTTGGTTCGTTGAATGTTTCCAGTTTTTCTGGTTTGGTTTTTGGTTGAACGGATGGTTTGGCTGAAAAAAATATATTCGGATTATCAAAGTGTGCCTTATACATGCTTTACATAAACAATCTTAATTTTGAATTACAAAAAATGAATTTACTGCGTATTATAATGGTTTTCAAAATTACTTAAAATTAGTTTCAATACTCAAGCACAAGACAACTACCTACTCCATTGTTTCGATTTATAATTTTAAGGCAAAACAATAATACAAAGAAATTTGATTAGTAATCTAATAATCAGTTTATAACTAAAAGTTACGCATCGTGAATTTAAAATAGAATCCATTGCATAAAAGAAAAAAAAAATTACATGTCATTGGTACCTTTTCGCTGCACGCAACCGGAATTCGAAGTTCTTTTTTTTTCCAGAAGGGGATTATTTTTAAATTGTATATGACAGTGACCCCATTTTCTTAATAGAATTACAATTAGACGACTAATTGATATTGTCGAGGAATAGATAATTATCGTTTTGTTATTTGTTCTTTGAGACAATATTTAATTTGTATGTAATTTTTTTTCTTTGAAGCTCAAGGTCATAGCAATTCTGTATAATTTATTTGTCTTAAAAGGTTTCTGATTCATGATGGAAAAGTTAATAAATTCAACTTATTTCTTGTTGAGAGAAAATGAATCATAAATGTTAACAAGAAATAACACTTACCTGCTCAATAGTTTTGAATTCTAACAAACAACATTTAAACAAATTTTAAATTATTTACCGTCACTTTGTAATGGAGGTATTTTCGAAGGATTGGTAGGAACCTCTTCAGCGTCTTTTTCAATTGGAGGAATGTGAGCTGGTTTCGGATAGCCGGCAACTGGAAAGCCTGCCTGAGGGTTGTTATTCCTGACGATGACATTTGGTCCTGGACCTTGAGGAATCAGGAAATTGCCCGGAGGATTTCCTGGATTGATTAGGATCGGTTGGCCTTGGCCTCCTGGACCATAGAGAACGATTTGAGGTTGGAGCCTGGAAAATTAAATTAAATAATATATATTTTTTTTTAATATCAACAGAATATGCTTTATTACAATAGCCATTTAATTATGGCAACTTTAAAAATTTCGACACAATAAAATCGTATTATTACCTACTACAAAATTATTTTCAGAAATTGCCCCACATAATAATTATTACCTATTACAAGGAATAACCTTTAGATAATCTAAACACACGTCTATTACTGAAATTTATACAAAACATCTTTTAATTAATATTATAAAAATTGATATAAGAATACCTATTTAGAACATTTCAGCTAGCCTAGAAACTCGAATAAATTATGAGAAAAATGTGAATATAAGAAGCAGTTAGACATTTGAGAACTAGTTCTTTATGACCAAACTACCCTTCACTTTCAAGTTATGCTGTATTTAGTACATAGTATTGGCCAATCATTGTCAAGAATTCTGGGTTTGGTAGGTGATACTTATGAGATAATAATTATAATTATTAACCATAGGTACATGGGCATTGTTCAATTCGCTTCATTTTAAGAAGAGATAAACATGTAGAATTAAAATACTAGCCATTTTGGTCGACTTTATATATATTACAATTATAAATCTCTTAAGTTGGGTAAATTTCTGCACAATCTTGCAATACTGCCTAATGATTAGAAAATTCGCTCCAAAATTCAAGGAAAAATCATCACATCTCATTAATAAAACAATAAAGTAAAATAACTGCGGCATAAATTAAAGCTTTTCAAATGCTGGTTAACATTTTCTCTAAAGTTATTTTCACTTTTTGCATTGAAGTAGGTAGGTACTTTAAAGTATCAATCAGTCCATATTTTAAGGTAAAGTCTGTTTTTTTTTTAAAGATAAAAGTCAAAATGACATTATGTTGGCAATGCAATATAAAATTGTCAATGCTTTCAAATTTTTTATGTAGAAAAGGCTTGTGTTGCCAACATAGTTACTAAATTTTTGACTTGGGGAATTATCTTTAAAAAAAAAAAACAGATTTTAAGATTATATCATCAAGTATCATCCAAAGTAACATTATCTGCTATCTGCACCAACCAATAGGCAATGGCAATCCAAAGATCCAAAGAGATACTTTCTTCAGTAAATGCATATGTATTAAAAGTGAACGCCAAATTAAGAGTATAATACAGTTGTCTGATGTGGTGATACACCTTTATGTTTTAATACCATGTCTACCTGTATTTGGGTGTCATTCAAGATTGAGTCATTAATTATTTGTCACGTTAATCTTATGCTGGTGTCACTGGAAAACTACATTCCAGAATTTCATGACGTCAGTAAAGGATGTAGAGCAAGCACAAAAGCTGCAGCTGCTCACAAACTATGTAAATCACAACGTGTTCGAATAAGTTTCCGAAGCAAAAACCTACGCTGATGCTGTGAGTATCTTAGATAACATCTATACAAAACCTCAAAATGAAGCATTTGCAAGACATATTCTTTCTACGAGGAAGCAGCAACATGGAGAAAACTAGAAAACATGAGCCAGTACATTCAAATTTTGAATCAGGTCAGCAAGATTGTAACTTCAAAATCGTAACTGCCAAAGAACATTGCAAACTTTCCATTAGAAATGCATTCATTAACGGCTTATTGTCAAATGAAATTCGTCAATGCCTCTTGGAAAAAAGTAATCTTACTTTAGATGAAACAACATCACAAGCTTTATCTCTTGAATCTGCTCAAAAGCATTTTGAGGTATACCAAACAGCTTCAATAAGTTTCATCAATTCTAGTAACGCGGAAAATCTTCAAGTTACTTTTCGGTCACCCTATGTTATGTCACCACAGTTGAGTTCGGAATGAGATTGTAGTGCGGTGTTCGTAAAGTGCAGGGTTATATCACGCGATAAAGGTGTAATTGGCAGTGTAACACCGAATACACCATCATTTTGCACTGGGTAGACGGTGTCCCACCATCTTTACACTATTCCCACACCAAAGTTATTTCCAAACACAAATAAAGTGTACACCAAACTTTCTCCTACGAACTAACGAACGCCACAGTGTCAATAGTGTAAAAGTTGTCGACATGCATCATTGATCATTCCGAACTCACTTCACACAAAACACAAAGTGTTCAAAAATTATAAACACTCTTAAATTATGTTTTCAAAAATGGCGATTGTTTGTAAAACATGTTTGGTTCTAACACAAATGCAACGTAACGTTCAGCAGAACAATCGCAAAGCGTTTACCAACGTTTAGATCTGGTAAACGCGGCCAGTCTTATGCTTAATTTTGTCGATTAAAGCCTTATTTCTGGGGTATTTGCATTGCTACATCTGATAAAAACATATTTCTACTAAGTAATTTAAGACAAACGATAGTAGGTATTTTTTCAACTTTCAAAAATCCAATTTGGTTTGTCTATAGATAATCAGGACTCTGTTTCGAAAATTGAAGAATGCTAATTTTGAGACTTTCTTGCTCCAGTGAAATTATCAATCTTTTCACATGTTTTAGGGCCAAATTTATAGTTGTTCCTTGAGGTTTCCTTGGAGGTTGTTAGTTTAGAATGGATACTTGTTACTATTTGACAAGTTTATTATATTAATTCTAAACGTCCAAGGCTGTCTTGAAATTCCTGATAATTCAGATATTATTAGACGAATGTCTAAAATTTTTGACCTTCAAAAACTTAAGACAATCGTCTGGTAAATTTACATATTTTCTTGAAAACTTTAAGACGTCAGACACAGGGAAAGGCTATTTTGATGAACTACTGAACAGACCGTCGCAGGAAGAACCCGAATGTAGTGTATTCCCTATAGCAGAGGCTATAGTATCGCACTCGTATCCATGGAGGAGACAACTAGAGCCATTAGAAAACTTAAGAATAACAAAGCGGCGGGCCGAGATAATAAACTAGTCAAAACGAAATAAGGACCACTTTTAAAAACACCTTTATTTTTATTGAATTTTGAATAACCCTGGTAAAGTGTTTATTTCCATTCACAATATAATTTTTTTGTGCACATTTTTTTATTTGTTTATCTATATTGTAAATGTAAATAGTCACTTTACCAGAGTTATTCAATATTGAATAAAAACCAAGGTGCTTTTGAAAGTGGTCCTTATTTCGTTTTGAGTAGTTTATCTTGGTAGAGAGTCTAAAACATGGAGGGGACGATCTTACTATACAAATACACAGCCTCGTACCACAAATTTGGAATCAAGAAGCCATTCCCGACGAATGGAAAGAAGCTGTTATTATCCCACTCCACAAAAAAGGGGACCAAATGCAGTGTAAAAACTATCGAGGTTTGTCCTACTAAGTCACGTCTACAAAATATTTTCTAACATTCTCCTTCAACGTCTTTCTCCATATACCGGAGACTACCAATGCGGTAGGTCAACAACTGATGGGAGTTTAACCAGTGGCGCACCCAGGTTTTTTATTTGGGGGGGGTTCATAATGATGGATATTTTCAGAAAAAAATTCTTATAATGATTCCTGGATTAAAGATTGTTTAATCGGTACTGGTAGCCTTTGCACATTATTAAAAAAATCCCTTGCTGAAAAATTACGACTTTCCAATGTTCTAATGGAAAATAATGTATTTTTAAGAAGTTTTATGGGTGCCCTTGTAATGTGGTAGGTACAATAAATATGAAAGTAGATTATTCTTTTGGAACAGTTAATGCTTTTATAGTTGAAGATGCATGAAATCCGGTAATAGAAACGAGTTCTCGAAAAATTACAAAAATGTAATTCAAACTGGAAAAAAAAACGAGAAAATTAATCAATTTATGGTGTCTTTTTTAATTAGCGCCAATCTTATGTGTGTTAGCAATACAATAGCACAATCCAGAATCCCAAAAATTATCTAGTTTTTTTTTGTAGAAATTTAATTAATTCTTCTCGTCATTTTGCCTGTCTCTGTTATACCCGCAGCAAACCCTATGGCTCTTTCCTGTTTTGCGATAAATTTTAAATCGGTATCATGAAGGATCCAGCGCCAACCGGCCCAACAGTAGCCCAATGCAATAGTCGCGATGAACCTCGCATCTTTATTAGTATTAACTTGTTGGGTAGTCGTATAGTTCGACGTGCGTTACAATATATTTTAAACGGCGCATTCAATACCATTAAGCTTTAGAGAATTTTTTTCATAAACAGTTTATTGTTTAAATTTTATTCATTAATATACAAGGTGAAATATAATAAATCCAGATGTCTACGTTATTATTTTTATTTTTTAAAAATTAACATGAGAGACCTAAGCAGGGATTTTTGCGTTTTTCCCGAACCGATCGTTAATAATCCATACAGAATGGCTATATATGAGAAAAATACTCTTAATTTACTGCTAACTTAGCTTCAGGATACTATCAAATACCAATGGAAGCAGACTCCGTTGATAAAACGGCGTTTATTACACCAACAGGGCATCACGAGTTTTTCCGAATACCTTTTGGACTAACTAACGCGTCTGCAGTATTTCAAAAATTAATCAACGCCGTCCTAAAAGATTATACATATTAATCAAATTGTTTTCGCATATTTGGATCATTTTATAATTCCGGCTCATACAATTAAAGAAGCACTAGTTAGGTTAAGGATTGTTTTAAATTTATTAAGGCAAGGAAATCTTACTCTTGAACTAAGTAAATGTAACTTTTTGCAGTCCAGAATAACTGATTTAGGAAGAGAAATCAGTAAATACGATTTTCAGCCTGGAAAAGAGAAAATAATAAGAGCTGGGGCAACCATGATAGACCTTACAGATCTATAAATCTTGAAACTATTTTCTTATAGAAGCTCTCAAATGCTATTTCAGACCACCAACAATTATTTATCAATGTCATCAAAAGTGTTTTGTTTCAAATAAGATGGCGGAATTCTAAGATATTGGGCACTTCAAAAATTTAACTTTAAATACAGGGTGTCCCAGCCGAAAGTGAACCATTTTAAATGGTTATAACTTTTAAACCAGGTATGCTAGCTACCTGCGGTTTGTGCCATTCGATTTCTCTTGGTCCAAAGTTTTTTCTAGTAGGTTGCAGATTTTTTTGAAACTTATACAGGGCAAGTGAAAAAAAATCAGTTTTTCAACATCAAAATTCTCCACTATTTTCAATGGAACACCCTGTATATCACAACGTCAAAAAAAAATTAATATTCAAGATATCCATGTACCAATAGACAGTCCCTAAAACTTGAAGTTTTAGAAGGTAAAAAATCAAAATCGAAATCTTGGTATTTTGGCAAACGCATGCAACTTCATGTTGTAGGTACTTGATATCACTATGACAAAGAATTTTGTAACTGTCTAGTTAGATATCAATTAAGTTAAAATACAATTTCCAAGAAAATTTTACGAGTTCCAGAATATTTTCTCTGGAACTTGTCAAATAGACATACCCCAAAAGTTACAGTTTGGTGTGCAATCTCTATTAAGATAAAATACAGACCATTTCCATTAATGAACCAACGATAACAGAAATTGTACACACTGATATGTTATTTTTTCCACAGTTAAGACAGGAGGGTATCTTGGATGATATCTATTTTCAGCACGATGGTGCCCCCACCTCATTATTCTTTGATAGCAAGGGAATCACTAGATATGACATTTGGGGAAAGACGGATATGGAGGTCCTATAGAATGGACACCTTACTCTCCTGACTTGAGAGTTCCACACTTTTTTCTCTGGAGTTATGTCAAGGAAAGATGCTGTAATCTTTTGCTCAAATAGCTTGAAAGATCTTAAGCGGAACATTTGTAATGTCATTGAAGTGATTCCCCAGGAAATGTTACACAAGTCATTCACCCATTTACTGATCCATAAATGCCTGGAACAGAATTGCTAACTTTTACATATACAGCATTTTGTATAGCTTTATGCAGTTTTTATTAACTTTTTATTGGACAAACAACAAGTTCCAAGCTTTGTAAATATTCGTTTGCAAAAATACCAAGATTTCGATTTTGATTTTTCACAGCTAAAACTTCAAGTTTTAGGGACTATGTCTATTCGTACATGAATACCTTGAAAATTATTCTCTTTTTTGACGTTGTGATATACAGGGTGTTCCATTAAAAATAGTAGAGAATTTCAATGTTGAAAAACGGATTTTTTTTTACTTTGCTTGTTTCAAAAAAGTTTGCAACCTACTAGAAAAAACTTTAGACCAAGAGAAATCGAATGGCGCAAACCGCAGGTAGCTAGCACACCTGGTTTAAAAGTTATAACCATTCAAAAAGGTTCACTTTCGGCTGGGACACCCTGTATATAAGATATTCTTACCTGGATATACCTGCTCCATTCTGATACTGAGGCTGCGCATACGTCAATCCGTAGACCTCAGGAGCATATTGTTGCCGAGCATAAAACTGTCTGAGCTCTTGTGGAACCGACCCAGCTTTTTGGTTTTGAGCTAAACTTATAGGAGTTGCTATTAGCACTTGTTGCTTGGCGGGCTCATCTTTTGCGTTACTTTGCGACTTTTGAGCTGTTGCTAAAACAGCCAAAAATACTAATAGGCATAGCGACTTCAGTAACATTTTATGCCTAAAAAGAAATAAAACAATATAAAAAACAAAGCCTTATAATTAATGTATTGCTAATACATTTATTTACATATCTAATTGATATTATGTAAATTATGTTGTAGAAAAAAGAGAATGAAAATACATTATAACGACGTATGCACCGTTTTATGCACAAATTGCTCCGAAGAATAATAAATTGGCAAAACAATGGTAGGAACAGCTTTATGTGAAAACAGTAATCTTTATGCGTTATACAATCCGTCGAACAAGGCAATTTTTTGTTTGTTTTTGCTATGAAACCTTGTCATTTTTTTTTCAAATGTAATGCGTGAACATTTTAATTCCAAACTAATTAGATTATTTTGAAATCAGTGATTGAGGAAGTATAGTAGGTATTCGATTATAATTGGATGATTATAAGAGTGTAAGATTTTACAATTTATCTATCGTTTAAAAGCAATATAAATCAATATAGAAATTAAAATAGAGCTTTTCCAAATGAACAGATTGAGCTCAGAGAGATTCAACTCCTCATCCCCTAAGGATTGATGTAAACCAATTCCCGACAGCATTAGAAAACGCCCTGTTAAATCTCTCTAAGGAGATGAATGAATGAAAAGCATACTTATTGGGATTTTGATATTCTCAACCCTTCATCCCCTACCAAATGCAAAACCAATTTAAAGCAGGACCTGGGTCCCGAACCCACGATCCGATAGTATCGTCCATATAAACTGCATAGACGATACTATCGAATCATATGTATGTATTCCATAATAAGTACCCTGTTACTTCCCTGTTGGATGATGATAGTTATACTCCATCCAGAATCTGGACAAAAGGGATACAAATTATAATTTTGTCAATGTTGTTGGTATTATTAACCCTCTAGCGATTGGAAAACCAATTTGTGGCAGTATTCTAGAATATCCTGTTGGGAGATGGTAATGGTATTTTATCCAAAACCCCTAGAAAAGGATCTAAAACCTCGAGCTTTCGCTATTCCTCCCAATTTTAAAACCAATTTGAGAGTTTTCTAGAACATCCTTCCAAAAGATGGTCCAAAGCAGTGTTGCCAACTGCGGATCAACTATTATAGTATAGAACGCTATAAAATTATAGTACATTTGTACAAATTATAGTATCCTGCTGGAGACAGATGATCACCAATTGTCCTGGTGGGACACACAGAGATCGAACTATTATGAAATTTTCTGGACAAAACGAGAAAACTCAGGGGCATATCATACTAAAATTTCAAATTTTTCAAATGAAAAATAAACCTATTGGAAATTAATGAGAATCAACTAAATTAGTCATAAATGCACCATTTAATATATATTTTTTTTTTCTGGAAAACTATCCAAAGGAAAATTATGAAATTTTCTGGACAAAGCGAGAAAAGTCAGGGGCGTGTCATACTAAAATTTCAAATTTTTCCAGTGAAACATAATCCCACTGGAAATTAATGAAAATCAACTAAATTAGATATAAATGCACCATCTAACATTTTATTTTTTTTCTAGAAAACTGTCCAGGAGAAAATTAAGACATTTTCTGGAAAAAAAAGAGAAAACTCAGGGACGTATCATAGTAAAATTTCAAATTTTTCCAGTGAAAAATAACCCCATTGGAAATTAATAAAAATCAACTAAATTAGGCATAAATGCACCATCTAACATTTAATTTTTTTTCTGGAAAACTGTCCAGGAGAAAATTATGACATTTTCTAGAAAAAAAAAGGAAAGTCAGTGGCGTATCATAGTAAAATTTCAAATTTTTCCAGTAGAAAATAACCCTATTGGAAATTAATGAAAATCAACTAAATTAGGCATAATTGCACCATCTAACATTTTTTTTTTTTCTGGAAAACTCTTCAAGGGAAAATTATGACATTTTCTGCAAAAAAATAAAAAAATCAGGGACGTATTATAGTAAAATTTCAGATTTTTCCAATGGAAAATAACCCCATTGGAAATTAATGAAAATGAACTAAATTAGGCATAAATGCACCATCTAACATTTTATTTTTTTTTCTGGAAAACTGTCCAGGAGAAAATTATGACATTTTCTAGAAAAAAAAAGGAAAGTCAGTGGCGTATCATAGTAAAATTTCAAATTTTTCCAGTGGAAAATAACCCTATTGGAAATTAATGAAAATCAACTAAATTAGGCATAATTGCACCATCTAACATTTTTTTTTTCTGGAAAACTCTTCAAGGGAAAATTATGACATTTTCTGCAAAAAAATAAGAAAAATCAGGGACGTATTATAGTAAAATTTCAGATTTTTCCAATGGAAAATAACCCCATTGGAAATTAATGAAAATGAACTAAATTAGGCATAAATGCACCATCTAACATTTTATTTTTTTTCTGGAAAACTATTCAAGGGAAATTTATGAAATTTTCTGGAAAAAAAGAAGAAAATCAGGGGCGTATCATAGTAATCATAGTAAAATTTCAGATTTTTTCAGTGGAAAATAACCCCATTGGAAATTAATGAAAATCAACTAAATTAGGCATAAATGCACCATCTAACATTTCTTTTTTTTTCAGGAAAACTATTCAAGGGAAAATTATGAAATTTTCTGAAAAAAAAGAAGAAAATCAGGGGCGTAACATAGTAAAATTTCAGATTTTTTCAGTGGAAAATAACCTCATTGGAAATTAATGAAAATCAACTAAATTAGGCATAAATGCACCATCTAACATTTCTTTTTTTTTCTGGAAAACTATTCAAGGGAAAATTATGAAATTTTCTGAAAAAAAAGAAGAAAATCAGGGGCGTAACATAGTAAAATTTCAGATTTTTTCAGTGGAAAATAACCTCATTGGAAATTAATGAAAATCAACTAAATTAGGCATGAATGCACTATCCAACATTTTATTTTTCTTCTGGAAAATTCAGGGGAAAATTATGACATTTTCTAAAAAAAAAGAGGAAAGTCAGGGACGTATCATAGTAAAATTTCAAATTTTTCCAGTGGAAAATAACCTCATTGGAAATTAATGAAAATCAACTAAATTAGGCATAAATGCACCATCTAACATTTTATTTCTTTTCTGGAAAACTATCCAAAGAAAAATTATGAAATTTTTTTGAAAAAAAAGAAAAGTCAGGGGCGTATCATACTAAAATTTCAAAATTTTCCAGTCAAAAATTAACCCCATTGGAAATTAATGAATGAGACATAAATGCACCATCTAACATTTTATTTTTTTCCTGGAAAACTGTCCAGGAGAAAAGTATGACATTTTCTAGAAAAAAAAGAAGAAAGTCAGTGGCGCATCATAGTAAAATTTCAAATTTTTCCAGTGGAAAATAACCCTATTGGAAATTAATGAATATCAACTAAATTAGGCATAAATGCACCATCCAACATTTTATTTTTTTTCTGGAAAACTATTCAAGAGAAAATTATGACATTTTCTGGAAAAAAATTTAAAAATCAGGGGCGTATCATAGTAAAATTTCAGATTTTTTCAGCGGAAAATAACCCCATTGGAAATTAATGAAAATCAACTAAATTAGGCATAAATGCACCATCTAACATTTTATTTTTTTTCTGGAAAACTCTTCAAGGGAAAATTATGACATTTTCTGCAAAAAAAGAAGAAAATCAGGGGCGTATTACAGTAAAATTTCAGATTTTTCCAATGGAAAATAACCCCATTGGAAGGTAATGAAAATGAACTTAATTAGGCATAAATGCACCATCTAACATTTTATTTTTTTCTGGAAAACTATTCAAGGGAAATTTATGAAATTTTCTAGAAAAAAGCAGAAAATCAGGGGCGTATCATAGTAATCATAGTAAAATTTCAGATTTTTTCAGTGGAAAATAACCCCATTGGAAATTAATGAAAATCAACTAAATTAGGCATAAATGCACCATCTAACATTTCATTTTTTTTCTGGAAAACTATTCAAGGGAAAATTATGAAATTTTCTGAAAAAAACGAAGAAAAACAGGGGCATAACATAGTAAAATTTCAGATTTTTTCAGTGGAAAATAACCTCATTGGAAATTAATGAAAATCAACTAAATTAGGCATAAATGCACTATCCAACATTTTATTTTTCTTCTGGAAAATTCAGGGGAAAATTATGACATTTTCTAAAAAAAAAAAGAGGAAAGTCAGGGACGTATCATAGTAAAATTTCAAATTTTTCCAGTGGAAAATATACCCATTGAAAATTAATGAAAATCAACTAAATTAGGCATAAATGCACCATTTAACATTTTATTTTTTTTCTGGAAAACTTATCAAGGCAAAATTATGACATTTTCTGGAAAAAAAAAGAAAATCAGGGGCGAATCATAGTAAAATTTTAGATTTTTTCAGTGGAAAATAACCCTATTGGAAATTATTGAAAATCAACTAAATTAGGCATAAATGCACCATCTAACATTTTATTTTTTTTCTGTCCAGGAGAAAATTAAGACATTTCCTGGAAAAAGAGAGGAAAGTCAGGGGCGTATCATAGTAAAATTTCAGATTTTTTTAGTAGAAAATAACCCCATTCGAAATTAATGAAAATCAACTAAATTAGGCATAAATGCACCATCTAACATTTTATTTTTTTTCTAGAAAACTATTCAAGGAAAAATTATGACATTTTCTGGAAAAAAGAAGAAAATCAGGGGCGTATCAAGGTAAAATTTCAGAATTTTTCAGTGGAAAATAATCCCATTGGAAATAAATGAAAATCAACTAAATTAGGAAGAAATGCATTATCTAACATTTTATTTTTTTTCTGGAAAACTTATCAAGGGAAAATTATGACATTTTCTGGAAAAAAAAGAAAATCAGGGGCGAATCATAGTAAAATTTTAGATTTTTTCAGTGGAAAATAACCCCATTGGAAATTATTGAAAATCAACTAAATTAGGCATAAATGCACCATCTAACATTTTATTTTTTTTCTAGAAAACTGTCCAGGAGAAAATTAAGACATTTCCTGGAAAAAGAGAGGAAAGTCAGGGGCGTATCATAGTAAAATTTCAGATTTTTTTAGTAGAAAATAACCCCATTCGAAATTAATGAAAATCAACTAAATTAGGCATAAATGCACCATCTAACATTTTATTTTTTTTCTGGAAAACTATTCAAGGGAAAATTATGAGATTTCCTGGAAAAAAAGAAGAAAATCAGGGGCGTAACATAGTAAAATTTCAGTTTCTTTCAGTGGAAAATAACCCCATTGGAAATTAATGATACCTAATTAACTAAATTAGGAATAAATGCACCTTTCAACATTTTATTTTTCTTCTGGAAAACTATTCAGGGGAAATTATGACATTTTAATAATAATAATAATAATCTTTATTTAGCATAATGCTGCATACAAAATCCATACATATAAAAGTTTCTAGAAAAAAAGAGGAAAGTCAGGGACGTATCATAGTAAAATTTCAAATTTTTCCAGTGGAAAATATATCCATTGGAAATTAATGAAAATCTACTAAATTAGGCATAAATGCACCATTTAACATTTTATTTTTTTTTCTAGAAGACTATTCAAGAAAAAAATTTGACATTTTGTGGAGAAAAAGAGAAAAGTCAGGGGCGCATCGCACTAAAATTTCAAATTTTTCCCGCGAAAAAATAACAAAATTAAAAATAATTTTACAAATTAAATAGGGGTGCGTTCGATAACATCTTTTTTGGTATAAAAAAAGGACCCGCTCAGGGAAATCACACACAAGTGACTAGACATAAGAGCTTGCACGTCAACACATTAGGAAACCAATAGAATTAGGACTTGTTAATAGAAAATAGGATTAGGCAACAAATTAGGATTAAGAAGTGAATAGATTAAGGGCTTGCAGCCAACAAATTAGGATTTAAAATAGGCTAAGGTGAACTAGAATAAGGAATCAGGATAAGGGCTTGCACGCCATAAAATAGGTTTAGGAAAATTAGAATAACGGCTTGTATGCCCACCTAGGTAAAAAAAAAAGAGCACACCCGCTAACTATCCATGGTTATAATGCTCCATTCACATAGATACTTGTAGCTGTTTTGTTTAAGTAAGATTTACATATGGAAAATTTTCTCTCGCATTTTGCGTTGGAATAAGGAATCGGAAGAACTGGGCAGGGATGGTTGCGTTGCGTTCACGAAGTGGATGAAGTGCGAGAATATCGAGAATAGGGATGAAAACAGGGCCGGTCTAGCCCCTCTGCCGCCTTTGTGCGAACATGAAAAAGCCGCCCCGCCCCTATTCAAAACAACTATAAATTTTTTAGTGAATATTATTTTATCTAAATTAGGACTTCCCTTTGAAAAATCGGCTACACATAATAGCGTAGGACTAAACTTCAAACCCGAAAAATATTTTAGACGAAAAGCCCGCGTCCAGAAACTGCTCCATCTAAAGTGCACTGGACTCATTGTAGGCCTGAAGATAATTCAAAAAGAATCGAAACTTTGTTTTTAACTTTCAAAATAAAAGCTCAAAAATTTACTCTTTACTTACCTACTCTCATAAATTAAAACAAACTAAATTCTATTTGAAAAATAATTTTGGCATCATAATAACAAAATAAGTACCCACTACCCACTTACCTCAAAATAAGTATACCTAATCACTCAGTTATAAGTTTTTAATTCCACACGGCACCGCTTAACTAAAGACTGTAAACGACTCCAATCCGAGGACCATCGACCTCTTCTTATAACAGAACCATAGGAGGGGCCCACCCATCACAAGTTGACGGGCACTTTAATTTTTATTTTTTTCATTTTTTCTCATTTCCATCGAAGATTGTTATAAATAAATTGGGTTTTCGGCGATGAGGTGCGAAATTTGTTTAAAATATGCTAATATAGTCGCAGTTGGGACAATTTAAATTTCAAGGTTCGCATCACTTTATTTGACTTTATTTTGAGTCTGGAAAATGGCACTTTACAGTAGTACAATGTGCCAATGTAACCTTTTCCAAAAAAAAAAAACATCCCACTTTTCCATTATAAGTAGGAGTTTGGCTATTATTGATTGAGCTTTTTTCTTCAGTAGGTACATCATTTTGCTGCTAAATATCTATAATATGTATAATAAAAAAAGGTTTATTAATGAATTGTGTTATGTTGTAGTTACTGATAAACCCCGTATTGTGGGAAAGCAGAGAGAAAACTATAATTATTGTTTTTCATGTTTTCATTTGTAAATCTAACAATTCCCACGGTATTTCAAAAATTAACGACAGAGATTCAAATTTATCGGATTTTATTATCCAATTTTATTACCCAAATGCAATTTTTGGGAGGTTGAACCATTCAGAAGTGTGTGAAGAATTTAAAAAACGAAAAATAATAAAAATTGGTGCCTTATATTATTCTGTTGTGTTGTTTGACAGTAGAAAATGTTGCTTTTGAGAGAACGGGATGTGTTTACTTAAACATTGAAAAATGTTAAAAATCTTGTTAACATTATTCCAAACAAAACTTTCCTGGGACTTTAATGAGACGTCCTGGAGAGATTTGTTCAATGCAAAGCCGTCACATTACGAAAGTATTTGAAATATAAATATGAAGTGAATATATTTAATAGATTTACTTGAAGTACAAGTTTGTTTTAAATTATACATATACCTTGATTATCAAGTAAACTTGAAATTTACTTAAATTTCATCAAGTAATTTATTTCAAGTAAAAACATTGTGCTTCAAGTAAGGTGGCATTACTTGAAGTAATTTGGGTACTTAAAATATCTAAAATCTGTTCAAAACAAGACAATTCTTAGTAATTTTTTTAGTTATGTCACAATATAATCGAATCCTTATTCTATTCTGGTATCTTATCCGAGCTTTATGTTATTTATTATTTATAAAGTAATAAAAGTACTAAGGTGCTTTGGTGCTTAGTAATAATTTTCGTTGGAAGGTGCGCCGATTCGAGTAAAATTTTGTATATCTCAGTCTCGGTTCTAAAAATCAAGCAGAGCATGATGATTCCAAAATAGGTTCAGGGATATTTGAGCAAATTGAAATAAATTATATATCATTGGGAAGAGCAATAATTCCTCTATACATCCGTGCAAAATTGAGTTTGATAGCTCAAATAGTTTTTGAGCAATTGAGTTTCAAATTGAAAGTTGGCTTTTAGAATTTAGAAAAAGTACCTTCCCTTATAAATAAATACTCAATTTTTTTATCTTTTAGTTTTGCTCAATTTTGAATTTACCAATCGATAGAGCGGACCAAAATTAGTGAAAAAAAATCCTGACATGATTTCCAAATGGCCATTTTAAGCTGAAACAAAAAATTGAAAAGGAAATTTTATTTTTAACTCTAGAAAATCTTCAAAATTTTATCCCATATCTTTGTTAAATTTTGAGCAAATTGAAATAAATTATGTATCATCGGAAAAAGCAATAAATTCTCTATAAATTCGTGCAAAAATGCTCAAATAGTTTTTGAGTAATTGAGCCTCAAGTTGATTTTTAGTCCAAATTTTGCCAAAAGCTTCAAACTCAATTTTCTCAAAAACTGAAAGCCTGAGAATATTGTAAATCACAGAGAGCTTATTAAGCGCTACAAAAGCTCAAAATGTTGATGCAATTTGCCCAACGGTTACCGAGCAATTGAGGTTTGAAGATTTTGAAATTAAAATTCAAAGTAGTAAGTATCCCTCATAAAAAACTCGATTTTTTTATTTTTCTTTTTTCCTCAATTTTGACTCTACCAATCGATAGAGCGGGTCAAAATTAGTGGAGAACAACCCTAACATCATTTTCAAATGGCCATTTTAAACAGAAACGAAAGTAAAAAGCAAATTTTATTTTTGGCTCTGGAAAATTTTCAAAATCTTGACATGGTCATGAGCAATTGCCCATATCTTTGTTAAATTTTGAGCAAATTAAAATAAATTATATACCATTGGAAAGAGCATTAAATTCTCTATGAATCCGTGCAAAATTAAGTTTCATAGCTCAGAAAGTTTTTGAATAATTAAGCCTCAAAGTTGACTTTCAGTCTAAATTTTGTCAAAAATTTCAAACTCAATTTTCTCAAAAACTATAAACCTGGGTAGGTTACAGGTCTTTTACAACTTGATAAGACCCACAAATGCTGGAAATTCAATGCAATTTGCTCAACGGTTACCGAGCAATTGAGGTTTGAATATTTTGAAATCAAAGTTCAAAGGGGGTAGGTATTAGGTACCTACCCTTATGAAAAACTCGATTTCTTTATTTTCCAGTTTTGCGCAATTTTGACTTCACCAATCGGTAGAGTGGGTCAACATTAGTGGAAAACAACCCTGACATCATTTCCAAATGGCCATTTTATGCAGAAACCAAAATAAAAAGAAAATCCTATTTTTTGACTCTGGAAAATTTTGAAAATCTTGACATGGTCATGAGCATTTGCCATATCTTTGTTAAATTTTGAGCAAATTGAATTAAATTATATATTATTGGAAAAATCAATAAATTCTCTATAAATCCGTGCAGAATTGAGTTCAATAGCTCAAATTGTTTTTGAGTAATTGGGCCTCAAATTTGATTTTTAGTCCAAATTTTGCCAAAAACTTCAAACTAAATTTGCTCAAAAACAATTACCTAATCTGGAAATATTTTAAATTACAGTGTTTTTAGAGCTTATTGAAAGCTATAAATGCTAAAAATTTCAATGCAATTTGCTCAACAGTTACCGAGCAATTGAGGTTTGAATATTTTGAAATCAGAATTGAAAGGGGGTACCCTTATGAAAAACACGATTTTCTTATTTTTCAGCTTTGCTCAATTTTTACTTTACCAATCGATAGAGTGGGTCAAAATTATTGAAAAACAACCCCCACATCATTTCAAAAATAGAAAGGAAATCTTATTTTTGGCTCTGGAAAATTCTCAAAATCTTAACATGGTCATGAGTAATTGCCCATATCTTTGTTAAATTTCAAGCAAATTGGAATAAATTATATACCATTGGCAAGAGCAATCAATTCTCTATAAATAAAGGTATAGGCCTTAATATAATGAAATAGCCTGTACCAATCCAAGATTCGAAAATATTTTTCATATTTTGATATTTGGTGAGATAGCTGTGGACTGTAAAAAAAAGTTTGCAATAATTATTATTAAAAGAAAAGGAAGAAACTTATTTATTAAAAGTAGGTTCTCAAAATACTTCAAGCAAAATACTCGACACAATCAAGTAAAAATCCAAGTATTTTAGAATAGATATTGGAAGTACAAGCACAAGTACCTACATAACAAAAAAAGTAATTCAAGTAAAATATTTAAAGTACTTATATGTACTTGAAGTAGAATTTCAACTAATTTACTTCAAATATTTGAAAGCTCTGGTTCAATATTAAAAACCTTTCATAAAGAGGCGTTTTACAGGACTTTGAATAAAATATACCTACTTAATAACTTTTGTTGTAATGTAGGAATATTCTTGTTGGACGTTTTTCAATCTTTAGAAAGTTCCGATAGTTGAAAGGAACGTTACATTTTTGTTGAAGTTGAAGACGTTTCATAAATATAGTTTCGTCTAAAACTATAAGTTTGTGCCAAAAGATACCCCGCAAAAAAAATCGTAATGAGGAAGACTCTGGCTTCCCTCTAAATTTCTATAGATCTACATCTAAATTGAAACTTTGGAATGTATACTAGAATTCCAAGCTCTGCGAGAGTCAAATATAAGTTTTTTGAGCTGCTCTAGCACAATCTCTACTATTAAATAGTCAAAAATCAGTTTAACACTTCTCTAGTTCAATTTGTCGCGTTAGGAGCGCTGGGAATAGAGTTTCTAAAACAAATTTCAGCTCTAGTAAAGTCGGAAATGAAGTTTTCCTAATTTTATAATTGATTCCAAGCTCTGCGAGAGTTAACCCTAGGGCAGGCGCGCATTTGAAAATCACATTAGCGGGCGCGCTGCGACACTGCGTGCCGCCAGCAGAAAAACATACGAAATAATTCAAAACATCAAAATTTATTTTTAACTGGAGTAAAAAAATTAAATGAGTTGTAATTCTAGGCTACTAAATATGAAATCCTTTATACTAATTTCGCAAAAATACAAAAATAATATTCATAATATTTGTAATATTCCACTTGTAATTTTACTCACATGACCAGGCGCGCTGGCGGTACGGAATGCCGAAAACTCAACACCTGCAAGTTCAAGAACTCACTGACATCTGAACAAGCGCTCTAAGTTCGTAAATTGTGCGTAGTAGGTTTACTCATATAGTCATTTGAACATAGCTAGACGGACAATATGATAAAATCCACAATATGTGCAAAATCCTTGAATAGTGAAAGGCGGCATAAAAGGCCGATAGCGCACCTGCCCGAGGGTTAAATATGAGTTTTTTGAGCCGCTTTGACTCAATTTCAACTATTAAATAATCAAAAATCAGTTTAACACTTCTCTAGTTCAATTTGTCGCATTAGGTAGGAATGCTGGTAATAGAGTTTCTAGAACAAACAGCTCTAGTAAAGCCGGAAATAAAGTTTTCATAATTTTCTAATTGATTCAAGCTCTACGAGAGTCAAATATGAGTTTTTTGAACCGCTCTAGCTCAATTTCAACTATTAAATAGTTAGCGATCAGTTTAACATTTCTCTAGTTCAATTTGTAGCATTAGCAGCGCCGGGAATAGAGTTTCTCGTGAAAATTTCAGC